CTGTGGCCCCCCCGTCTTACTACCCCGGAGTCGGCAGTCACGGGATGCTGGGACAACGCACGGGGGTCTCCATGAGCCGCGAGGCGCATCGGTTTCAACTTGGCACCAGAAACCTCCTCATCAACTCCAATCCACAGGCAGTGACAACAATTCAGTCACAAATTAGTCCATCAGATCCGGCGTGGTATGGACTTGTCTTCTGATAGGGACACTCCTCATCAAGTGTGCGTGCTCCAGTGTAACCACCCACCAAAAAAATTTCTGGTCATATAGATCCCACTAAGGATGATAATTGGGCTGGGTTTCCGATAGGCTGCCCAAACCCGTCCGGGTTTGGGCCGGGCTCGGACAGCACTTTTGTGGATTTTTTGGACTTTGGCCCGGCCTGTTAAAAGCACCAAGTGGCATGGGTTGGGCACGGGCTGCCCGGTGGGCGCCCACGGGCTCTTGGTTTAGCGCTATAGCCTGCCCTCAGTTTGGATGCTAGTGGGTATTCACTTCCCGGGTTCTCTCAAGGCTTTTTTGGGCAAGGTCTGAGAAGAGATCTTGAATTTGTATGTTCCAGCCCCAGCATCAACCAACCCTCCAGCAAGTACTCCTCCATCTTTGAAGAAAATCAACAAGGTATAACAACTTGATTTCTCCAATACATGAATGGTGCCACCAAAGGCCATCAATCAAATCCACCGGGTGCTGAACTAGACCTATACCTTGAGGAGAGGAACATCGGAATCTCTAGTGAAAACGAGTTCTATATCTTAAGCTGGTGGAAGATGAACAAATCACAATTCACAAGTCTCTCCAAGCTGGCCAAGGTCATGTTGATGACCCCTGCAACCTCGGTTGCATCCAAATCTGCCTTCTTGACTGGGGGGTGTGTTTCAGACAATTATCAAAGCCGACGCAATGAAGAGACTGCTGGAGCGCTCTTGTGTGCCCAAGACTGGTTAAAGGAGGCTTAGTTTTCTTATTTCAATTGTACTTAGCTTCTAATGATTCATGATTCCTCTGATTGAGATTTCTGAAATAAAAAAATCAAACTTTCTCTTGCCTTATATTGCCTTGTTGTGCCTGGCCCGTGGGGCCCCGGTAGGCTTGGAGCAGGTGGCCTGCTGGACCCTCTGGACCCTCAGCCCGGCAGGCCGCCGCTGCCCAGCCCATGTCCGCCTCATTGTGGACACGGGTTTGGGCCGGACAGCAAAATGAGGTGATCGAACCCGGCCCGGCCTGTCCAATTACAGAGCGGGTTGAGCCGGGTCAGCCCGTGGGCAGCCCAAACCCGCCCAATTATCATCCTTAGATCCCACAGATTTCACCAGCCTGTAGTCTTGCCGCAGGCAGGCCCACCTATATAACATAGAAATTCATCACATAATTGTGGGCTTGTGGTATTTTTGATTGATTAGAAAAATAAAAATAAAAAAAACAGATGTACAGTGGGTGGACCGTTATTTTTGGCTGCTTGTTTTGGGTTCTACAGCTTCAAAGCAAAAACTTCAAGTCACAAGACTTGGTGAATTGGTGCAGAATAGGTTCCAAAGAATGAATATGAAAAAATAAAAACAAAAAACAAAGTTTCAAAATTTGTAAAAAAATAAAAAATAAAAATGTTTTTTTCCAAAAGCTTTGATATTGATTTTTGGGGAGTGGGAGTGCTGAGAGAAAGAAAGGGTGGAACATGGCAAGAATGATTATAAATGAAAAAAATTGGAACCAAAAAAGGGTGAGCCAGGTTGGCTGTCCAGATTGGATCCAAAACAGTAAATTCTAGTGCTTTACTACAATGTGAGCTGGTGAATGCCCTACTCAACAGCTGTGTAAAACCAACTGGTAACCTTTTTTTCAAATTTTCATTTATAATCATTCTTCTAATTTTCCATTCTTTCTTTCTTCCAGTGCTCCCACTCCCCCAAAACGAATATCAAAGCTTTTGGAAAAAAATATTTTTATTTTTTATTTTTTGCAAATTTTGAAACTTTGTTTTTTGTATTTATTTTCTCATATTCATTCTTTGGAACCTATTCTGCACCAATTCACCAAGTCTTGTGACTTGAAGTTTTTGCTTTGAAGCTGTAGAACCCAAAACAAGCAGCCAAAAATAACAGTCCACCCACTGTACCTGGAATAAAAGAAGAGAACTAGAAGAAAGATCAGAATAAAAAAAAATGAACAATTCATAATCAGATGAACCACCCCTCAGGTTATGAGAGCCTGGCAGTAAAAAAAAATGGAACTACCCAGGTGGATAGGTTTCCACCCAGTTGGTTTTGGACGTGGACCCTCCCGCACAAAGCACCGGGTGCCCTAAGTTGAGGCAAAATCCATGCATCTGAAATGTGCTGAGTAGGGGGTATCAAATATAAGAAAACCAGCATTACAAACCAGTCAATTAATTTATCCCATTTGTTTCAGCCCATATCACCACCAAACTTGACTTGATCAGAAATCATCATCTCACCACCAAACTTTGCTCCATCAACATCTATATCAGCTCAACTCAAGCTCTCAAAACCAATCATGCAAAAAGTATCTTGAAGAAAGAAAATCATCAAAGCAGGTTACCCACTTCTAGAATTATTGGGGATTTTCAGGGTCCTGTTTAGAGATGGTCACGGTGAATCCGGATATCCGCGCGGATGCGGATATCCGCCCACGATTTCAGCGGAATTTGATATCCGCATCCGCAACCGCAACCGCTGGCGGATATCCCCTGGTTTTGGCGGGTATCCGCGCGGATACCCGCGGATACCCGCCCTTTAACTTGGCAGCGAGGCAGCGGGCTGGGAAGGGTTTCCTTCCAGCCAGCAAGGTACACGTACCTCGCTGACCGGAAGGATTTCCTTCCAGGCGACGCGCCGGGATTTCACGGAAAAGGGGGCATCCACACCCGAATCCGCACCCGCCAGCGGATAGCGGATATCCGCGACGGATTATCCCCACCCATCTCTAGTCCTGTTGCAGCAACTTGCAAGCTATACACCCTACTGTATTGTCATTACTCTGTGTGGGTATGGGAACTCAAAAAAAGCTGACACTACAAGTATCTGATTGTTCATAACCATGGGCATGTGTGTAGTGCAAACTTTCCCAATGGGGAACTCCAGATTCTTCCATGTGAAACCAATTTTTTTTCTTGTTTTGGAGGATCATTTTTTAGGACCATACCAGGCCATTCAACAATTGCTGCACTTTCTTTTTGTTAAATCATTTATCAAAAAATGCATTTCAACAAATAAAGATGAAGGGAACAAAAGCAACTTGTGCACAAGCTTCTCAGCTACAATTCTGTTAAAGCAGAATGATTTTACAGTAATATAGTTTTTCTGTTGGCATGATTTTCACACACAACATGGCCTCTTCAAACACAAACTGCTAACTTAACTAAGTCCCTCCTTTTTTCGGAGGGGGGACGCCGTCCCGCAGGGACCCTCCAAAGGAGGGACTTATGGGCTAAGTCGCCCACGCGGCCCATGAGTATTAGGCAGTTGGCTGTGGAAAATTTTAAAACACAGCTGACTCCGTCATTCTGAAAGATTTTGCTCCGTGGTTTGGACCACCATAGAGGCGGCAGTCAGGCGCATGTGCTCAGCCTCACAGCTTCCCCCCAACCTCCATGGTTTGCGCGCTGTTCCTCATTGTCATTTTGGGTCCCTATCAAATATGGGTTATGAGTTGGGACCACATTCCACTGTCTTCGATGCAAGGCGCCTGTCTCGGCGAAAGTACATTGTATGGGGAGATACATGACCGCCATGGGGTTTCATTCTCAGTAACCCATGGGCTGGTATAATGTGTGATGATGAAATGACACCGGCGCCACATCACACGGGACATCAATCATGTGTGAGGCCCCAGCCCAAGGAGGTCGGCAACAGGCCATGGGGCAAGGGGATGACAACTGCCTCAGAAGATTGCACCTCGATCCTTCACCATATAAAGGGTGTCCTATCCTTGGCAATCAGCATTCCCCTCCACAAAGCGGTTTTGCCCAACTTGTGATCAATCGCCAATCATTCTTACAATTTCTTCCCTTCCGATTCACTCAAAACCTCTTAAAATCTCTTATGGATGCTACTATGGCCTCAGAGGCTCCCAATACAACCACCAGGGCTCCTCGGGTCACAATGAAGATTAAACTAGAGCGCATATGTACCTTGTTAGATGAGCTCAACTTGAACCCCAAGACGTTCATGACCGCTTTCCTTGAGGATGACGATGAAGTATCAGCGGTCCGGCGGCGCTACTATGGCACAGAGCGAGGCTGGGAATCCACACTGGATTTGATATTATCTATAAAAGCTCTCACTTGTTTGCACATGGGTGGCCGGGCTCTCTGGCATGATTTCATATTATCTGAGGTACGCACCGTTCCTTCGATCTCTTTGTCGGATGACTTAAATGCTAACTGGATCCACCGGTCGGTCACCCTGGACAGGCGACAGAGATTGTGTGCGCCCAAAAACCTCAGAGCGGGCTGGCACCACGTGGCTCGTATTACAACTCCACCACATTGTCAGATGCATTTTTCTCCAAGGAACAGCTATCGGCCCGCAACGACAGTCTTGTTCAACGGATGCCCTTCCTGTATCAGCTCTTGTGTGTCAAAATGAAGAAGAACGACATCGTGGCGCCGGTTGTGCCTGGAGCGGACCCCTTAGGCAATTTGGCAAACGACGAGTCTGACGAGGACGAAGGGGTTGGGTCAGACAAGGAGTTACCGGAGGTGGATGGCTCTGTCTTCAGGCAGTGCCGGGACCGTGCAGTCAGGCGAGCCAACCGTGTGACAACAGTAAGTTAGACCGGTTGGAAATCAATATATGTCTCTGCTTTGGGAGATCCTGACGGGTTCTGAATTCTGACAGATCGCTAGGACCATTTGCGCTATGGTTGCCTTTGGTTCAAACCGTCGACACAACGGGTTGCAATTGAGCAATTCACTCATCTTCCTGGCTGCCGGTGTCACTGAGCGGGTCAGTGCGTACCTCAACTATGTAGGGTTGGCATCATCACGCCGAACTGCCCATGAGGCACTGAAGAGCCTGGGGAAAGAGTCTGCAAACAGGCTGATGGCTCGGTTCGACCTGTCATCCTCCAAACGGCTCGCGCCCTTCTTGTGCTACAATAACCTGGACTTCCAGGAGAAGATTCATATGAAGTCTGTCGGACGGGCGAGCACGATGTTCCACGGGACTTGGGGTTATATTCACTCAGCCCCCGAAGCCCTCATGAAGCAGGTTGATCCGGCCGAACTATCTGTTGAAGCATTTAACAACGCCTTGCACGCTGGGACTCAACTGACGATTCGGCCAGAGATGTTTACCCCCACGAGAGATAGCACGATCCACTGGGAGAAGACCCTGAAGTCTCAGATAACGCGTGTGATCGTTCAATACCTAGCGCGACCAAAGGACACCCGAGTTAAGCTGAATAAATCTCCACCACCGGCGCATCCGATCGTCCCAGAAGACCCCCAGATTGCTGTTTTGAAGTTAATGGTCGCCTCCGATAACTCCGCTCAGGGGGTCGGTGACGTATTCACGGGGGTGATTCAGCAGAGCGGCCTCACTCCGGAAGAGTTCCACTCATGACTGCACATTGTGGAGGGCAATCTTGGGTCCTGCAATATACTTGAAAGTCTCTGGAGGCAGCGGGTGCCAGCGCTTGGTAATCATAACAGCCACGATAACATCCTGGCGATCCCTGGCGCCGCCCACACTTTGTGGAACATTTCGCAGGCGGTCTTTCTGGCACACTGGGGAAACGAGAAGCATGCACGGGACACCGGCGCGTGGCGTACTCTTCATGCTTTGGGGGTCCAGGCTGACAAGCCGGTCACCAAGAAGGATTTCAACATGATGCTCTGTCATATTGAGAAGGTACACGAGGCCAGCTTATTATTCTGTGTCCTGTAAGTCTTGATCCCAATTCCGCTGAGAGTGCTCCATTGTCCAGAATGATAACTGATTGCCTTTTTTTTGATATGGGTGGAACCCTGACCAGCCTCGTCGCGAATCGATCTCATGTGCCATTGACGGCTGACCTACTCAAGGTCTCAAGCGAGACGATCACTGAGTGGGTGGAGCAGACGTATGATCGGTTCTGCTCTGGCGAGGCGTTCCGAACGGATCTCGCTCGCACTTCCCCAGCGCATCTCAACCTGTTGCTCAGAATCCGAGACTTTGCAACAATCATCGAGGCTCAGAGGTCGATGAAAGAAGGGGATTACGGCCGTCTTATGTTCATGTGGGAACGTTGGGCTGTGATGACCCAAGGCCTGGGGCATATGCCACATTACTCAAAGCATTTGCCCAAGCTCATCGTTCAGCTCAAATATGTGCTCCCCAAATCGATTTCTCACTTAATCTCAAACACTTTGCTCTTGTCTCCAAAAGGGCAAGCCGGGCACTTTATGGCCACCAACCAGTACCTAGAAGTACTGAATTACTGGTTGAAGTACTTCTTCAATCATTCTGGGATCGGAACCAACATCAACCGATTGAAAGATGTTTTTTCTCCCAACATCACCATTGTAAGCCGGCTATGTCGTCTTCTTCTTATAAACACTGCCTGTTTGCTTTCTGATCCTAAACTGTTCATCCATACCAGCTCAAATCACTCCTGGACATCCTCAAGCTGGAATCGGGATGCACCGTTGTCCATCAGTCCCACCACAACCGGATCACCTGGGATTCACTCAACAACTTTCGACGGATGGCTGAGCGGGAGCGCATGGGTCTCAGTCCACCAAAGGGGCCTCCCCCTCAACAGAACCTGGACACATACTCCGCCGGGATCCTCAAGCTGCAAGCTGAGTTCACCCGCAATGGGCTGGAGCGATTCAGGCCTTACTGCCCTGGGATCAAGACTATGTCCGACAGCCAGATAGGCGGCATGGGTGGTGATCAATTGCAAGAGGATGGCCTGTTACATGAGGCCGGATGTAGTGACGAGTCTTCAGCCGAAGTGAGTGATCATGATGATCAGGAATAAAGTGAGTCGTCCTGCCTCAAATACCCCCCCTCTCCAACTCGGACCTTACCTCAGCCATTGTCTCCTCGGTTCGAGCCTTTCTCAAGAGTTTGGCCTGGTGTTCTTTAGCTGACTTGGCCCTGTTTGATTCTGCAGCCATCCGGTTGTTCACTATTGTATCCAACCGCCGTCGTTTGGCCGCAGCCTTGCAGGCCTCGTTGTTCTCGCGCAAGGTGTCCGCCTCGGCCCGTCGGCTGGCTCGCTGCTCCTGCTTCTCCTTCAGATCGGTGAGGAGAACTTGGGAGGCCTCATCCCGCTGTCGCGCTTGTTCCTCTACCTTCCTCTGTTGTGCCATGATTCTATCGAACTGCCTGCATGCTATTTAATCCCCCTGTGCATGTTAGTTTGCTGTGACCATAAAGCATTAGAAAATACACACCTAGCTCTTCTGCCTGACCCTCCCGTGGTTTGAACCGTTTATTGGTCCCCACTGAGTCCAAACCCTGAGATATGTCCGTCCCGCTGGCCTCGGCCCCATTATTGCCAGAAGCCTGATCTTCAACCGGCAACCTGCCCTCTTGAAGCAAAATCGCCCGTCGCTGCTTATCAAGGGCCCGCGTATCCTTTGCTTGCTTGCGGACCCATTGCAGCTCAGCCGCTCGCTCTTCAGCGATGAGTGCTTTTTCCTGCCTTCGGTCCTCGGCAACACGCATCCGCTCTGCAGCCCGCTCTTCAGCCAACAATCGTTTGGCAGCCAATAGGGCCTGTGCCTTGGCCGTCTTCTCAGCCAACCTTCTGGCCTCCGCCTGTCCCTTCAGTTGATCCAGCTCTTGCGCCATCGCAGCTCGTACCCGCAGGCCCTCGTCCTCTATGAACTGGTCCAAAGCCGCTACGGTTCGCAGGTGGTGATTATAACACTCACCCCCAAACCATTCCGTTATTGATTGATCGAGGAACGACAGCTGCCCCTCCACGCACTGACCACCTATGACCAGTTCAAGTAGGCGCAAGTCCACCTTCCCCTCGGCCCGGATCTCATCGATCGAATCCGCAATCGCCTGCGCCTGCGAGGTCCCAAAGAACACCGATGCCGAAAATTCGGGTATTGCGCCTAAAACGACCAAATAGAATCCCTCGAAGCCGTGGACCAGGTGTCGCACAAGATCATCGCTCAAGTGTTGAGGATACGGGCACGACCCTTTCAACAGAGGCTTCTTGCGGATGTGTTTCATCGTGACAATGCTAGGATCTAATTCATGTGTGAACGGGTCCTCGAGGATTGCGTCAAAGGTTTGGACACTCATCAGCTGAAAGACCTCGAGCAATCTCGCTGCCTCCTCAGGGGCGCAGTTTGAGCATCTGCACTTTGCAAACCCCTCCTTCTCTTCACGCAACCGCTCAGCCAGAAAGTTCGGATCGACCTCGGAAAGAGGTATGTATCCAACCCTGGGCACCAGGGTCAGCCCCCGTCTATCACAACCTGCTGAAACCAAAGTGAACCTGAACTTGCTTACTTATTATCAAGCGCCAGGGCAATCCTCAGACAACAAGGGGTGACTGCCAACGCGTCCATGCGGGCATCGTCTTCCTGATGAACTTTGTCTCCAAAGGATTCCACGTCGTTTTTGCCATTCTTCCTTGTGCGCTCCATGAATAACAGCCCCAGACCAACATTTCCATCCCGCCCGCACCGTCCTACCATTTGAACAATGGCTGCCGGATCGCCTCGACCCATATGTACCACACACCTCACCCGCTTGAGGTTCTGTCCTAGTCCCAAAGCCATTGTTGCCGAGATCACTGGCACCTGAGCATTACCAAAATCCTCCACCGTCCGCGCTTTGTCCTCATCTCCTGTGACTGAATGATATCGTCGAATGAACTGATCATTAGGGTCATATTCATGCTTCTGAGTATGCCGAGCCTCGTTAACGACTTTCATCACCTGAAACGTCCGATTCCGAGTCCCCGAGTAGATGATCATTGGTACAGAATCTTCCGCCGCCGTTTTAGTGTGTGGAGCGAAAAGTCTCAAGAGGTCGTCACACGAGCTGAGAGTTGAGTCCATGTACACGCGAATGAAGCGAATCTCTGGCCGTGTGAGTTCGCCATTGATCATGTGAAGATCGCTCGGACTCAGCATCAAGCTTGTAGTGATCTTGTCAACCGCCTCTGGACGACAGGTGGCCGACAGAAGGAGGATCGGTATGTTGTTCGTTGCCATCAGCCAGGTGCCTATGTGTCCATACGCTGGTCTGAATATTGCTTGATCCTCCAGTCGGGCAAATATGATCAAACCCTTGCTCTGTTTTGAAGCAACCAGTCCCCACAAATATATCATGTGGCCTTCGTCCACCACAATCAGAGCAAGCATGTCCTGGAACTCTTTGCTAAAAAACAGCTCAGTGAAGAGTGAGCTGTTGAGGAACACCTCTGGACTCTTAATAGGAGCATTAATCATCAGAAACGCAAAGGCGAACTTCCAACTCTGGACACTTACCAGATAAACAAAACTATAATGCCCCTGCTTGATCTTGTGTACCGTTTCCCAGTTAAGTGTCATCTTGTTTAAATTGATGGCTGTTATGTTAACCAGCTTCTTCTCCCGCACCTCATACCCGTACAAACATCAACAAATGTCAGCTCAATCGTGAGAATGCGGCTGCCTGCCAACCTTCTTACCTGGTCATCACCCAATGAATCCAATGGAACCAAAACCAGAACCACCACCCTTCGGTCAAACAGGCCAAAAAACATTTCCGAGATCCGTGTCTTGCCAAAACCTGTCCCCGCCCGGACAAAGGTATGTTTCCCTTGGACTAGTGAAGTTACAGCATCGACTTGCAGTTTTTTTGGCTGATCGATGAACAACTCTATTGACCGAGTGATGATGTGGTCCGCGAGTGTGACCTCGTTCATCTGGGCCACGTGCTCCGGTAATTTGTTTGGCTTGCCCACCTCGGCGATCTCTTCGAGTAATCCCATCGATCAAGAGAATGAGATACTTGTTTTGGATTCGAATGGATTGGCCTGTTATTTGGTGTATAGCCATTATAACAGGCCTGCTATTATGGCTCGGGCCGGTGATGTCCGACCAGCTGTATTCTCTGCGGCTGACCCGGAGTATCATCATGTCAGAGGTGGCGGTCCATACAGAATTGACCCGAAATCCATAAAATGCCAGCAAATCAAGCAGATGGTGATCAAAGAACAAACTGCTGCCCCCCGACCTTATGATGAGGCCGATCACATTCTCCCACATCTGCCGCTTCTTTTGGCGGGCGACTTGCACAGGCTTGATCGTGTGAGGGGACTTGTAGATAGCTTTAAAAAAAAAGCCGCTTTTTTTTAATCCTCGTGGGCAAGCAAGGCGACTTAGCGCATAAGTCCCTCCTTCGGAGGGTCCCTGCGGGACGGCGTCCCCCCTCCGAATTAAGAGGGACTTAGATAAGTTAGCACAAACTGATACTGCAAGGAAAAACAAAATACTTAATTTATTAAGACGCTCCTGCAGGGAAATTATCACAGAGATGTATGGACCTGTCAGGACCCTGTGTTTGAGAGACCCAATTATGGTGTTGCAAGCCCGTCTGGGCACACACCAAAGTTTGGCCAAAAACAGGCCAAGCGCTCTGGGCCAATCCTAAAGGGTGTGTGGCACCCTCCCAACCCTCTCTTGGCACATGTCAAAGTTGGCAGGGGTTGGAGCAAAGCCTTGCTTGGCCAATATCAAGCAAGGGTGCCACACCCGCCAAAATTTGATGCACCCCATAACTCAAGGTGTGCATTGACCAAGTACTTACCTCCTTGATCTCTTCACATAATGATTGGGGGGTAGGTTATTGAATTGTCAATGTATCAAAAGATTTTTTTTGACACTTTTTTGCCTTGTCTAGTCTGTGTTAGTCAGAGTTATGGAGTTGGAGTTGATGGCCAATGATCCTCTTGGCCAAGAGGTTGAAATGGGCCCAGCAGGACTTGGCTAGGTGCCAAGTCCCACCCCCCGCCTATCCTGCCTGATCAAGCCCTCTGGGCACAAACCACACCCCCAGTGGCACTCGGCCAAGCAGGACTTTGGCTTGTGCTCAGATGGGCTTGCAAGACCATTAGAATAAGAGCCATGCTAGAGTAATTTCTATCCAACTGAGGGGAGCCAATAGTGGACACCCTACTCTTCTCCACTTGCAATCAAATATCAGAATGAATAACAAGGAATGTTGGACTTCATAGACAGAACAGGTGGAGCAGCAAATAGAATGTGGTTTAAAATTTCCAAAGACATTGGCACCAGGCACATCTTTGTCAGCAAAGATTGTGAAAGATCATGCTTCACTGCAATTCCTATGACACAGCTACTAAGGGTCCACAACACTTTTCTGACATGAGGGTATTTGTTTTTCTCATTCTAATGTATAATTCTTTTCTTCTTAATTAGGCTATGAAATAACTGAGAAAGAACATCTTGTATTCACAGTGTTAAATATCCCATTTGAGCTCACTCTTTCAATTTATTTCAAGTTCCAATGAGATCACATGATCATGATAGACAGGATGAAGACTTCTCATTCTCTGATCCCTTCCAATCATCCCACAAGAAACCTCATCTGTTTTTCTCTTTTGTTTCTGTGACAGCCATCATCTCTGAATTGATGTTGTGGCCAAGGCATGCCAACCATAGAGTGATTCTCCACTAAAAAAAGGTGATAGTTGTATAGTAATATTTTTTTTTTTTTGCAAAAAAGAAGAAACAAATGATTTTTTTTCTTCTTTGTTTGTTTTAGTGATCTGATTTTCAAGTTCTCTAAAGCTTAGGAGGTAAAAGAAAGATTCAGAAATCTCGAACTTCTACAAGCCCCTCAGTTTTCGATCCATCCGGATGATCTTGCGGTGTTGCGGGACCATCAGGAATAGGAGTGTCAGTGGCGATGGAGTTGGAATGACGAGGATGGTGAGTGAAGTGATTGTTAGCAGGAACCGAGTCGAGTTGATCTTGCTGTTTGTTTCCTCCGATTGGAGGCGGTCGGAAATAGTCAACAAATTTCCAGAGGTCCTGCGCCTTCGACTTGAATTCTTCTGTCCTTGAGCTTGAGAAACTTTCAAGTAATTGTAAGCCTTGGAGACCAATTTTCCATTGATTTAAAATGTCTTCATTTGATGAACTGAAGAGTGAGAATATTTCATCTTCGATTTGTTTGTTTGAGAAAAGCTCTGTATCTTCGTTTGTCGTACTTGACGTAGAAGGTTTATGGGTACGTTGGACGATGAAGGACTCGGCACGTGCCAATCTACCTCGATAACCTTCAGACAATTCTAATTGCTCTATCTTTTCCAAAGCCTTTTGAAGGACGTTTGTTGTCGTCGTTGAATCGGTGTCGGGAGTGGAACCGTTGAGCGGGGCGGAGGATAAGTATTTGACTTTTAATTTCGAAAGGGCTACAAACACGGAGGGATCGATTGAACTTTGATCTGGAGAGAGATCATGAGCTTTAAGTAGTGCTCGAAGTGCCAAGAGCGGTTTGTCTGGTTTGGTAAAAAAAATAGATGCAAATGATACTAGTTCAGATTAAAAACCGATTATGCATGAGAGAATTAAAATAGTTTCCAAGTTCAAACTGACCTCTCCTAAGTTCAATTTCAAACCTGCACAGAGAAACACCTTGGCATATCAGCCGCTTTGACAGATCGACTGACGAATCGACTGTTAACCCTGCAAGATCGTCCTCGATCGGCCTGAGCAATTCATTAGCCATCTCTAACGGATTCTCGGTCTTCAACAATTTTTCTCCGGTTGGGTCGTCATCTGGAATGGGTGGGATTACGTCTGGCGTAGCCGTGCTAGCTTGGTCGCCATTTTTATTCTTTGACGAGGCTGAAGAATGTAGGAAAAACGAATGAGGGAGATGAGTATTGCAAGTGGGTTTGCTAGGTCAAGCGAAGCAACCTTTCTGGATTGAAACCCCCCAAAACAGCTTACCTTTCTTGGCTTCAAGGGCGGCCTGGGCTTTGGCTTTGATCTCGGCCATCTTTGCCTTTTTCAGAGCCTTTTTACTTTTGGTGGAGTCGTCCTCAGGCTTGGGGCCACCGTTTTCGTTAGGAAGAGAGTCCGGATTAACTTCTGAGTGAGTCTGAGTTACCAAAACGTTGTATTCGGTGATCAGGGGAGCTTGTTGAGATTTGCTAGCCATGGCGATCCGATCGTGAAGTTTCAGATAGATCCCAACCGCCTTGGAGACCGCTTTGTAGTAGAGTGGATCGGCATATAGTCTATCTTCAAATTTCAACAGGCTTAAAGGACGAAAAGACGTGCTACCCATTAGCTAGAGAACTTGAAATTGGAATCATTGATAGCACTGAACTCTTGGTAAGTTTGGAATGTATTTTTCCGAATACAATATGTGTGAAAGTCATATTGGTCTTCTTCCCACTGCCGGAATATCTGAGGCGGAAGAAGTCAAGCACAAACAAATTCAGCTGAGAAGAAGCCAATATACATAGAACCTAGAAACCGACCTCATAAACTTGATGAAGTCTTTTCAAGCCCATTCCCCAGTCAGACGCTCGCAATGCGACCTCCGCTTCGGCCATAACATACCACGCTGCCTGCATATCGACCAGATCACTGACTGGGTCAGGTGCATCTTTCCGAGTAAACATCCCGATCAGTTGCCGACTTTCTTCCAATAGCCGAATCCGCACTTCAATAGGTTGGTCGGGTACGCCGATCGATTGGAGAACATATTTAGCACACTTCGAATTCAAGAATCGGTCTTGTCCATCGAGCCCACGAGCACTACGTAGAGCATCAGCCGCCTTTTCGAATGAGCCGGCTCGCTTGTAGGCATGTGCAAGTGAGATGTAAAGGTCTGGAAGGGATGGGGTGTGTTCGATCGCTTGATGAGCTGCATCGATCGCCTCCTTGGTCATATTCAAGTGAGACGATCCATAAAGTTGAGAAAGAAAGTGCAAGATCCAAACAAGAGTCGATGAAGGTTGTTGGGCCTCGACATCTTTGGTTGATTCAAAATATCCATGTTGAGACACTTGTGAATGTAATTTCTCAGAGACAGTTTTGATTGACTTCAATTTCGCAGAGTCCGCTAGGAGTGGTTTCAAGTCGTTGAAGAGTGATGGGATCCCCTTAGTAAGTCTGACACAGAGATACGATTCGAGCTCTTGATCGAATTGAGTGCCAGTCGCATGGTCAAGGATCATACGTTTAATCAATTGTGAGGTCGGATAGCGTTCGGCCAAACGTTTGAGGGCTATCACCGGATCTTCATTCGCGACTTTCGAGCGGGTTGAGAGGTAGCCTTCTAGATACATCCGATTTTCGCTATTGGTATCCAGTAAATCAAACCAAGCCCATTCAGCAGCCTCTTGCCGACCAAGCTCGCCGAGATTCTGGGCCCGAGTTAACATGTACCGAGGGCGATCGAGGATCAAGTTTGAGGACTTCTCCAAGTAATCCAGTGCATCCGATGGGGGGAGAAGTGAAGCTTTGAATAAGATCGTTTCCGATCGTTCGAAGGTTTGCTCAGGCTCATGGATCACCTCACACTTTTCCATCGCATCCAATACTTCCAGGGCAGCCTCGGTTTGATGGTTGAGTTTATAGGCCATTGCCAAGGAGAGCCAAGCCGTTCTGGAGCGTCGGTTTGACCTGAGGAGCTTCCAGCGAGATTCGACGTAAGCAGAGTATTGTCGGACTTGAATTTGGAGTACGGCTAGATCTCTGAGGATGTTATGGTTCTCGGGATCGAGTCGCAGAGCTTGAGAGTAACTCTTGACCGCCTCAGAATAATTTCGATCGGCCCGGGTGATGATTCCATAGACATGCCATACTATGTGCGACTTCAAGTCGGCCTTCATCCCTGCTTTAACAAGACTATATCCTTGTGCTTTGTTGTTCATCGAGTGGTTTAAGAGCCCAGCCATGGCTGTCGTCTCTCCATGACCGGGGTATTTCTCCAGTAGGGTATCGCAATGCTGGAGTGCTGCCGAATATTGCTTGAGCTCATAAAGATGCTGAAAGATTACCGAAGCAATGAAATCAGCGAAAAAAAAGTGATAAAAGACTTTGGAGTGCAGTTGGATGCTGAGAGAATACTGACGAGGATCTGTTTGAAGACGGCTTGGTCCTTGAGGTTCAATGGTGGCGGACGAGTGGGGTCATGTTGGACGAGTGGGATTGTCTTGGTATTCGCAGCGGCTGGTGGTTTCTTTGCTGCAGCAGCTCTCTTGGCAGCAGCAGCCTTTGCTTTGGCGGCCATTTTCTTCTTGGAAGCCGGTCAAATGTGATTAACTTGATGAAGAAATCGAACTGAGCCTGCGTTGATGGTCCGGAATCAATTAGCTCTTCCTGAGATTCTATCTACTATCTATCTATCTATCTATGTATCTCTGCGATGGTTTTGAAATTATCTAGACGGAAAAGATAGGATGTGTCGTCAGTACTCGGCAGCCGATATCTCCTGATCCAGAAATTTTCAACAGTTTCAACTTTACCTTCAGATCAGATTATGTCACACCGACGATAAGAACGATCGTGTGAGAAGCTTGAACTGGAATTATACATAAATTGTAGAACCACAAACTTGAGTCAGTTATGTCTGTATACCATGAAAGATCTCGGTCTACATTGAGTGCAGGAAGAACAGTCGGAATGAAACTCAACTTGATGAACTTCGTGTTCCACTGGGAATGATATTACACTTCAGTCGAGGTTCACCATCAAGGTATCTTTAAGTTGTTCTTTTTTTTCAGCTATGGAGCTCCAACAAGCCGCGGATCTTTACTCGGATTCTTGGGTGATCGGTCCGGCAGACGAGCGAACGGACGACGGGCAAATCAGGCCGTTCGGTACTGTTCGGTCATCCCCGCGTTTATCTGGGGCCACTGCGCGCCTAACTTAACCCAAGCCCTTGATCGAAGGGCCCGGGTGAATTTTGGGTTTACCAAAAAGTGACTTTGTGGTTCCGAGAAGCCTCTCCATCTCCTGCGCTCTACGAGCAGCCCCGGGGCTTCAGGGGCCCCGCGGGGTCCCCACCTCCGCGAGCCCTTCATTCTGCAGCCCCCCACGCATCGACTCGCACCAATCCACATCCACCTTCATGCCTGTAAGTCCAGAGCCTATTCCCTTGTTATTTGTTCCCCCGAAAACAAAGACACGTTTAGTTTCTAGAGGCAAACTGATGATCTTTATTGTGAATTAAAATCAATACGTAGAAAGTTAAAAAAATCGTACAACCACCTGATGTCCAACAGTCATTGGGCGGGCATCAGCAAGCTGGATCGTTCGTCGGTATCGAGGCCGTCGAATTGCCTCGGGCTGTTGGTCAATAAATCTCTCAACCCCTTCATTTCCTTTCAGCTCATTTCTTTTTAGAATCAATTACTCACAAAGATCTGGACGTTAAATTACTACCACCAGTTATGAAGCTTGCGAAATCGACAGGTCCTGGTAACATGAAATTAGCAAAAGAAGTTCCGGTCGCGCTTACTAAAGCCAGCACCGTTTTCATTAACTACCTTGTGGCGATGTGAGTGGCTCCGACTCCAACCAATCTGACCGTTCATTTACCCCGGATGACCACAACTTTGTAGTGCGCATGATATCGCAGCGGCGCGGTCCGAGAAATCACTCAACGCGCGACACGTTCTAGAGGCTTGTAAGGAGCTCCAATGGGCCGACGGTGATGAGCTTCAAAAGACTCTAAAGGTAGAACTAGAAGGTATACATATCCATCCATCGCTCAATGCCAATTTCGTTCAATTTTTTTTCACTGATCGAAAATTTTTCTTGGCAACCCACCAGCTTTCCGAAAATTGAATGCAGCTAAGAAAGTGCAGAAATCTAACAAACCGGATGCCGAGACAACTTGATTCAGAAGCATCATTGGGGAGTCCATTAAAACTAGTACGACTTGCAGGAGACCATGCTACTCACAGAGTGTAGGGAGCAGTCTACCTCCATCTCTCCCAGTGATTTGAGTCAATCTCACAGCTCGCTACGCTTTTGAAATGACATGCATGTTGCCATCAAGCCAGCATCACCATGTACAGCCTACAAAGAGTTAACCAGGGCCAAGTGTCACTACCAACATTATTCAAACATGACGTGTATCCATTTAAACTAACACACAAATGTATTAATTTTAAATTCATTTAAGTAGTCTTCATATCTTGTCTTGTATAGAAGGTACAACTCAACTCCGGCTTTGATTTGAACTCTACTCCTTAGAATTTTTTGTGTAAGATTGCACAACTTCCACGAAATTTCAGATTGGTTGCGATGATTGTTGGAGAAACATTTTAGAAGAGAGTGAGAGAAAAAGAGGAAAAAGCAGATGCCCCATTTTCCAAATGGTTCTTGTGAAAAAGAAGGTTGATGTTGTTGAACTTCTTGTGAGCTGTATTGTTTGCTGTTACTTAAGGAAAGCCTTTGCACTAGGGTTGACGGCGCCACCTTTTTTGAAGGTGCGCGCCTAGGGGCGCCGGCCAGACTGCGAAAGCATGGCGCCTTTGGCTGGCGGCGCCCCGGCGAGCTGGGCGCCGGCTATAAAGTGCCTTTTTATCCATCTTTTTTTGGTTTTTCTTGAGTACACCCGCTGTGGTAGTTATTCCTGTGTTTCTACGCTAAAAATATAAAAATTTATTCTCATCTTTTTCTACATCAGATATAAGGTAAAAGAAACATCAAAAATGGATTCCTGAGGTAAAATAACCCTTAGTCACCCACTACAACTACCCCCTTATCTCTCATAGTTTAGAAGTTACACGGATTTCAACCTGTCACAAGATGTCTCTTGGATACTTTACTCTGACTATAGCTCACTTTCAATACTGGATGAATATTGCATATTGAGTTCCTTTGTTTCATATTGAATTCCTTTATTAGCTCATATTTCATATTGAATTCCTTTGTAGGTGCACATGCATTCCTTTGTAGTAGGACCTTGTAGGCTAGCTAAAATCCCTCAAGGCTGTGCTCTCACCAGCCAAATTCCCTCACCTGCATGCACTAGACTAGCTAAATTCCCTCATTGTATTTTCAGGCCAGCTAAAATCCCTCAGATGCATGTACCCTGGAGCTAAATTCCCTCACTTTTGTCTATATAAGGAGGCCTCTGCCTGCCAGTTGTATTCCCTCCTCATCAGATGCTCTGTAGTCAGTCCCCCCCATAACACTACATCACTGGTCACTCTTCAATATTATTAGCTACCTAGTATTGAGGTTTTATAATTATAACCCCCATTATATATATTATAACAGTTTATAGTGTAGAAATATCAACATTACTTTTTTTCATAACCACTAAGCTATCTCACCTTTGCCTGAAATCCGCTGCTTTTTGGCTTCATATACCCCAACCACAAGGACCTGGGTTCAATTCCCATTCAAGACATCCACTTTAACTCCACCTTAACTCCACTTTAACTTCACCTTAACTCCACTTTAACTCCACCTTAACCCCACCTTAACTCCACTTTAACTCCACCTGTTCTGGTCCTCCATTCCATTCCTGGTTGAAGCATAGTTCTCCCATCGCCCAGCGCCTTGGTTCCAAATCACCTCTTTTTAACTTTATATACCCTCAAACTCAAGGACCTGCGTTCAAGCCTCAACCTCGACAACAATCATTGACACCTCTATCAACAACTTCATCAACAACAACATCATCATCAACAATCACCATCAACACCTTTAACCGTTATACGAATCATTCGACAGCTTCATCTTGAACTATCCTCTATCACGATATATAAACTGCCAAGCTGAGCTTGGTGGTCTTGTTGTTCTGATAGCATAGAAGGGCAGAGCTTGCAACTCCACCATCCCCTTCTCCATTCAGCAAAAGGGTTTCACAACCACTTTTGAGTCTTACACCGCCAGATGATGCCTGAAGCCCTCACCTGTCATGACCATCATCATTCAGTAGAGGGTTGAACGAACCAATTGTTCCAAACTGGAGTGACTTGTAGACCCCAGCTCTCGCTCCTCATGGTCATCAGTGGCCCCTGCCAACCTGATACTGGGCCTTTCCATGCACTGAGACCGGAGATTCAAGCTGTGTGAGATTATGTAGATGCCAATCTACTATGCAATTTCAAATAATTAGCCATCAAAACTGCAAATCCATAGTTAAAAAGCTATAAAAAATAGTAAAAACTAGGGTAAAAGTCAGGTGCGCGCCAACCTCCATTTTTAAAAACATCGGGGACCCGGGGGCGCGCACAGGGGGCGGGCGCACTTTGGCGCGCCCCACCCTATGGCGCCGTCAACCCTACTTTGCACATCAAAATTCCTGCAGGCGGTACCATTGTAAGAGCATCTCCACCGCGGTCCCTAAATCGGGTCCCTAAAACCTTGCATTTGGGGACCGCAGTACCAGCTTTACAGACCCAAGGTGCTGCGGCACACACTGCTGGTCCCTTTTGTTGGGTCGCTATCTGCTCCCCGCCCTCCCCCGGATGTTCCTCCAGACTTCTTTCAGCTATGGACTGGCTATCCCTCCTACAGACGATGCTCTCGGCCCAATCAACTGTTCTCGCTTCTTCAACTCAAATTCAACTGGCAACTGTTCAAGGTGGCGCGGCGGCAATTCAATATCAACTTCAACAAGAACAAGAACTAGAGGAGGCACAAAGGCAACAAAAGCACGGTGGATCTAGAAAAGGACTTTCTGCAAACATCGATCGGGATTTTGAGGCTGGATACGAACAATTAACTAAGGATTACTTTTCTGAAACACCGCGGGCACGATACAACGACTACCAATTCCGGCGCCGTTTCCGTATGCATCGAAGCCTTTTTCTGAGGATAGTCGACGATGTCACGGAGCACGATACTTACTTTGTTCGGAAGTGCAATGCCATTGGGAAACCTGGATTGTATCCCATTCAAAAGATTGCATCTGCACTTCGAATTCTAGCCTATGGCGGGGCCGGTGACGCGAACGACGAGTACCTACGTATTGCCGAATCAACTTTGCTTGAGAGCCTCGATCATTTCACTGAAGCAATCATTAACTTGTATGGCAGTCAATATCTGAGATCACCGAACGAGGCCGACACAAAGCGCTTGTTATCCAACTCCAAAGATAGAGGCTTTCCTGGCATGCTCGGCTCCCTGGATTGCATGCATTGGGAGTGGAAGAACTGCCCAACCGGTTGGAAGGGGCAGTATCAGGGTAAAGAAAAGGTATTTAGACGAAATTTTATTCATCATGATCTTCGTTGACTGACTAAAACTTATTGTATACAGGTCCCAACGCTTGTGCTAGAAGCCGTTGTATCCGAAGATTTGTGGTTCTGGCACGCATTCTTTGGGATGCCAGGCTCTCATAACGACAAGAATGTACTTGATGCCTCACCGCTGTTCCAAAATCTCCTGAATGGAAATACTCCCCGGTGCAAATACGTCGTCAATGGAAATACATATACCCAAGGCTACTATCTTGCCAATGGCATATATCCCAATTGGTCTACCTTGATCAAGACAATCTCGAAGCCCCAGGGGCTTCAAAGGAAGGTATGTGGCTTTGTTTTTTGTTGGTTTGACGTAGGAAAATTCTGATCGTGTGTTTTTTTTAACCCAACAAATCAGTACTTCGCCAAAATGCAGGAAAAGGCGAGGAAAGACGTCGAGAGAGGGTTTGGAGTGCTTCAAGCACAGTTTGGTATTGTCGCGAGGCCAGCGCTCTCATGGAGCCATCAAAAGCTTCAAAAAGTGATGAGAGCAACGGTGGGCCAGTTACGCTAACCGTAGTGTTAGTGCAGCGTAGTGTTAGCTTTTTAAGCTACGCTACACAAAAGTTACTGTTAGCGAAAAATTTGGCCCACTAACACTACAGGATTTCTGAAAAAACAAAAAAAAACTTTAGCGTAGTGTTAGCTGACTAAAAAAAACAACAGCTAACACTAACCAAATCCCTTGTTAGTGGAATTTTAGCGTGGTTAGTGGGCTAAAAAGTTACACTAACTGTTAGTGTAACTTTTTGATAAGTTACACCAACTGTTAGCGTAGTGATCCCCTCAGTTACACTAACTGTTAGCATAACTGATCAAAAAGTTACACTAACTGTTAGCATAACTGATTACTGAGTTACACTAACAGTTAGCGTAACTGATTACGCTCCTCCAATTGAAAAAAGTAGGTGGTATCACTAGGGGTGAGAGTTTGTTTGAGAATCTGGTTTCGAAGCTCCTGTTTTTTTTTGGCTTGGCACCGTTTCTTTGCTGCTTTCATACTGGCATTATTATTACTATCAAGAGATAAATTAGTCCCCAGGGTTTGAATCACCCCAAGATCCATTTATTCCATCATTTAGTAGCCAGCTGCAGGAAAGGGAAACAGGAAGAGTAAGAAGAAGCAAAAAATTAGATCAGCAACCTGCGGAAGCTTAACACAAATTTGAAATCATACCGCTTTTTTGGCCCGTCCTGTTTGTAATCCACAGTCAATGGTCAAGAAAATGTGTGTGGGGGTACCTAAATCAAAGAGGGGGGAGGTTAGCAAGCATCAGAGCCAGGGTAGCAGTCTTCTAGTTTGTTCCCTTTTGGGGAAGCGATTGATTTTTGCTGGTTGACTTTGAGTGGCGATAACTTTTGCATAAAAGGTCCGATTTCCTTAATGTTTGGTTCGTTGGAAAGCTAGCATCAAGGACTACAACTTTGTCAGCCATTGTGTTGACTAAAAGCGAACGGTTGCTGAGATCGAATCGATTGAAGTTAGTCCAATGCAATCCAATGAGAGACCTAAGTTTCAGAAGAGGGAGTAAGCTGAAGAGACTTTTGGATTGGAGGATGTAATGGAGGTGGTTGTGATGAGTATTTAATTGAGATGAAGATCAGATTGAGCTTTGATGAAGTTGATGATGAGGATGAGGATGAAAAATCTTGATGGGGTCTTGCTTGGATCGGAAGAGATTGGAGGTCCGACATCCATCTCCCCTTGCTTGAACTTCAAGTTCAAACTCAGAGCCCAGGGAGTGAACATGTCACAGGCATGTCCATGACATCCTCTTGCTGACTGAACCTCAACTCACCGACCCATTCCTCATGTACTGCTAGTCATGTGGACAAGGAGGATGTCTGGAGATGCTACTAACCTGTCATGTCAAGTGTTCAATTCCACCTCAAGGCATGCATTTGTGTTATTTTCTCACTTGAAATTTTTCATTTGTCCACCATTGTGTAGTGTAGCTTAAAATATAGTGTAGCGTAGTGTGGGACCAGTTACGCTAAATGTTAGCGTCAACTCAGTTACGCTATCTGTTAGTCAAAATTTTGTTAGTGAAAAAAAAGTTACACTAACTGTTAGTTTAGCGGTGATTATTTGAAGCTAACACTACAGAAAATTTGAGATAAAAATTTCACGCTACGCTGGCAGTTAGCTCAGCGGTGTTTAGCGTGGGCTAACACTACAGATATTCTAGAGAAAAAAAAGGCCGCTACACTAACAGTTAGTGGTCAAATAGCGTAGTGTAGCGTAGCGGCCCACCGTTGATGAGAGCATGTATAATCCTCCACAACATGATTGTGGAGGATGAGCGAGATACTCCTCATGACCATGTCTACGATCGGATATCCCAATCTGAATCCACTCGGCCTGACGCAACACGATCAGGAGATCTTTCTGTTTTTATTCGGAACTACCGAACAATGCAAGATTCCGAGAATCATTTTGCTCTACGAGATGATCTCATCGCTCATCTTTGGACACGAAAGGGACAACTTGAGGAGGATATCAGCGAAGAGGAGGAACCCCTTCCCTACCCGGACAACTCAAGTGAATTGGATGAAGAAGGTTCCAATTCCGAGGGATTTGCAACTTTGTCTTGTCAAGCTTTTCTTTATCAATTTTTTCTTTCTTACCTCTTTTCTGTTACAGTTCTACTTGATGATCATTCACTAGTTTCTCATTTTTGACCACTTATTTTTTTGATCGCTTCTCATTTTTGATCGCTTTTGCTTTTCACTCACTCGTCTCTCAATTCTCAATGTCTTATTTATTTGGAAATATGTAATTAATTTTCAATCACTTTGGTTTTGCCCATTAACTTAGAGGAGAGAAATTGAATTGAAGAAATAAGGTGACATCGAGACAATCCAATAATGTGATTAATCACCTGTGAGGAAAAAAAATTGTATTGAATAAAACAAGATTGATTGAATAGACATCAAGGCCGAGAAAGATAGAAAAGAATTCATCACAAGACCAAGATTGATCGATAAAAAGAAGACTACAATCACTCTACTATAGTATTTGTTTGGGCTGGTGCGCTAGATGTGTTTGTTGAAGGAGCTTGTGAGCTAGTCGCATTGTTGCTAGATGTGTTCGTCAAAGGAGCCCGTGTGCTAGTCGCATCGTTGGAAGCAGAATGCTCCTTTTCCAATCTCGCCATGATCTTGGATCGCTCGAATGAATAATATCTCTTCATCATCTCGCTTGCTCCAGAGAGATCCTTGCACATAATCGACTCATCCACCAAACAATTCATGGCGGCCTGTTGAGCGTCTAGGAAGCTACTTTGTTTTTTAGCGACCTCCGCGATATCACAGTGATCCTGAGCCATCTTCTTGAGGCTCTCCTGAGTTTTTTTGGCTGCTAGTTCAGCTGCTTGGTCGCATTTTGCACGTCTACGGCCAATCGGGCGAGTCGGAGGGCCGCAAGTCTCATTGCTAGAAGAATCCCCACCACGACCGCCGTTTGAAGCATCTGTAGTCGTAGAATTCGTGCTGGGTAAGTTGGTTGATGAGCTGTCGGGCTCCTTGCGTTTGTTCGCGGCTGTAGAAGTTGATTCTCTTTTTTTTGCAAGGCCACGCGAGTAGTCGTTCCATTTTGGTGATGTGATGAGAATCTCATAGCAACCGAGCATAGTGAAGGGCTTTTCGTAGAGTCTTGAATACATTGACATTGCCATGGTGAGTCGGTTGGCCGAATTCGTCCCGCTGGGATTCGCTTGTTGGACTTGATTAACACAACTGACGAATCGGTTCACTTCCTTCTGAATCTTGTCACTCCAATGATTCTTGAGGCTTTTGGCGGATCGCGGGGCGTTTGGGATGTGAGTTGCGTAGTGCCTTGCAATGGCCTCCCAGAACGGGTTAAAGGTCTGATCGGTGCCCTTCTTGGGATCCTCACTGATCTCGAGCCACAAGTTACACAGCTGCAGATTTTCGTGTTCGAGGTAGGTTCGCGATCGGCCTTTTTTGTCTGTGTCGTCCTCAGGTTCAATGGCGGAGTTGGAAGTCTTGGAAGCGGTATTGGTGGCACTGTTGGTGGTTTTATCGACCGCGGTATCTGTGTTATTCATGGCAGCCTTCTTGCCTCGTGGTTTGGATGGCTTCTTGGGGGGTTGTTGAGCTGGAACAACAGTGATATCGGATGTGGGTTGTCGAGCTGGAACCACAGTGATATCGGATGTGGATATGGTACTATCGGGAGCTTGAACAACCGTGACGTCAGATGGGGATACCAGACTTGGATCCAGAAATGGTTGGTTGGGTGTGGGGGTTGCCATGGCGAGAGGAGTCGTTGGAGTATTGGTAGCTGTTTGCAGATGGCTTGGCTGCTGTATCCAGACTAGAACATAGGGGGTATCGGGGGAGGTGGAGTTGTTGATGGAAGGATGTTTCACAGGGGAAACACACGAGTTGTGTGTGATCCTTGTGAATGTCAGTGTCCCTAGCCAATCCTTGGATCCAGGGTCTGGAGAGGGACCGATGATCAAAACCGTAAAATACGGACGACGATGGGGACTGCGGTGGGAGGGGTTTTTTGAGCTGCGGTCCCTAAAAGCGGGATAGGGACCCGATTTAGGGACCGCGGTGGAGATGCTCTAAATGGATTACTCTTGAATCTTCAACCAATCCACAGGCAACAAATCTCTCAATCCCATGCCCCCCCATCCCATTCCTGATCCCCCTCCTCTACCAACCGGACAAGTTTTGCATGAACCACAAATAACAGATTCACCGCTAAAAATACTCAGTGAGATAACGATGTTCCTGAATGAAGCTCTCTCACCAAAGAACCCAGCTAGAATACTGAATGAAAATCAAATACAAGCTCTGTTAGATCAAACAAACAAACTGAAATCCACTATAAATATCAAGTTGCATCTGGAAAAGATCACTGAACGACTAGAACAATTAGAACAACAACCTCTTACAGTTTCTCATCCGACACCTTTGACCTGGCCTTCAGCGACCACTACCAACAATAAGAAAACAGACCCTACCATAAACAAGCAAGGGAAATCAACATCAATGATACCATCAAATGCACAAATAAATAAATTCAAGGAAGCTAGCCTAGTAATTCACACTCCATCTGGGTTTGTTGCGCTAGATTCAGCAACAGCAACAGACATTACAACTAAGATTAACAAGATTTTGATTTCTGTTGATGCCAAAATTGACTCACACCAAATTGAAATTGATGGAATTGTGCAACTTCCCTCTAAAGATTTGAAGATCTATACGAGTTCACGATCAAATGCACAGTGGCTGCTCAACAACAAACACAAGTGGACAGACTTGCTTTGCACCGATCTTAACCAATATCCTGTTATCTTACATGTGATTCTGACTAACTTTAATCCAACAGATACTTCACACCTTCAAGAGCTAGGAACACAAAACCGGATTAGTCAAACCTGATTCAATCAGCTCGATGGCTTGGAAACCCAATAGAGAAAGGAAAGAAGAACAGTTTGCTGGTACTTCAACTGCTAGATAAAGACATTGCGCTGAAAATCAAACGATCAGGCCCATTTTTACAGAACGAACTATATCAAGGCGCACATTACAAATAATCAATTCCACAATGCTTCAACTGTTGGAAACTCGGCCACACTTCTCAATGGTGTAAAAATTCTCCACTTTGTCACAAATGCCATGGCAATCACACATCTTCAGCGTATGACCTATCAACACCTTCTCGCCCTACTTGCTTTGTCTGCATTTCTCATGACAAACTTGTATCAAAAAAAGCAGTTAATACATTAGATGAAAAATTCTCTCACTCCCCATGGTCTGATACTTGCCCACTAATGAAACAAGAAATCCAAAGCCACAAGAGGAGGCAATGGAAACCACTATTTCTTTATGCTGCAACCTTTATTTTCTTTCTCTCTCCTTCTTTTCTACCCGCTGGATTAATCACACTGTAGTCATCAAAACACTAGGCACTTATAGAATACAGATAATTTTTTTCCCATGTTTGTATACAGGTTTTTTTTTTGTACATACAGATGATATACACTATAGGGTGGTATGTGAAATCAATAGCACTTGAAAAAAAAACAAGAAAACAAGAACCAGGGATGGTCACAGATTTGAGATGGGCACTAGAAACCGGTCTTTCTTGTTCAAGTTCAATATTATGAGCAATGTCAGTGGAGTTCAATTGGGGGTCATATCCCCGGTTCTTGACTTTCCCAAGGCCTCATCCTGGCAAGCTTGTTTGTTCATGTCTGGTGCTAGAGAACAGCTTTTGGGATGAGTGCAAAAGATAGGTTGTCTGACAGACCGCCTGTCTATTAATTAATAAAACCATCCTCAATGCCTAGTAGCAACACCGCAACCGCTGCGCTGTCCAAAGCGGCAAGCGCAGCGGATTTTGTCTCGCTCCACTGAGCTTTTTGTAGCGGGGTTGCCGCTGCGCTTTTTGCTAGTCAACCTTAGTGAAAATTTTCATAGATTTCAGCGCGCTGATTACAGCGGCCAGTAGCGATGATTCGCTACGCTCAGCGCTGAAGTAGTGGAACGATCGCTGAAAAAGCGATACTTTCTTCGCTGAATAGCGGTGAGGGTGATTTTCATTTGAGGTCATCTTGAGAGGTTACTGTTAGAGGGTTTGAAACTCAAATCAAAGTCTGATAATTAATCAGAACTATGATAATGTGCCATTTTATACTTTGATAAACAGGTTCAGCTAATTTATATACTTTTTGGAATAGTGCTAACCATCCTGGCCCAGAAAAGTGCCGCTATCCCCTGCGCTCTCCGCTATTCTCAGCGACTAGCGGCAAAAACCGCTATACCGCTTCCGCTGCGCTGTTCTGTAGCGAAAGCAAAAAAGAAACCGCTCCGCCACACACTGTTCATAATGCGTGTAGCGGCTGGTTTGCTGTGCTTGCGCTGAAAGTAGTGATTAAGCGCTGCCGCTTTTGCTTTTTGACACCAAGAAAAGCGGGGTGCCGCTGCGCTGTGCTATTTTGCCGCTTTTTGCAGCGGTTGCGGTGTTGCTAGTAGCCGGCAAGGTACATGTAGACCTTCCGGCTGGCAAGGTCATGCCTTGTCAACCATTTAAGGGGCGGATATCCGTAGATTGAGCTTAACTAATCCTCTCATGACAAGAGTCATTTGCGGCAGCGGTGGGCCGCTACGCTACAGGCCCATGTAGTGTTAGCGTAGCGGCACCAATTTTTTTCGTGTAGTGTTAGTGCGCCGCTACTTCCACTGCGCTACGCTAACTTGTAGCGGCGCTAACACTAGCCAGTTTTTGGTGTAGTGTTAGCGTGCCGCTGGCACCGCTACGCTACAGCGTTTTGAGCAGCAAAAAACACCTAAAACAGCTAAAAATTGCTGTAACGCAGTGTAGCGGGCGGTTTTTTGCACCCTGTGCTTGTAGCGTTAGCGCAGATGGGGGGGAATCTTGCTAACGCTACGCTAAAAGTTAGCACAGATTTTTGCTCCATGCGCGTAGCGTTAGCGCAGAAATTGAAAAAAGTGCTAACACTATGCTAAATTGTAGCAATTTTTTGCTACACTAACGCTACGGTTAGCGTAGCTGGCCCACCGTTGTTTGCGGGTAGGTCTGGGTGGCAGCCCAGTCTTGTCAGAGAGGCTTACATATTATTACTCAAAGCTCCCGTGAGGAAGGCCTGTTTTTGCATTATCACATCTGGCTTCCATGCTATTTTTGTCAAAATTCCATTGCAGCCTTTTTCTTGTTCTCTACCATCTTGTTGATCTTTCAGCATTTTTTTATTTGTATTTACATGTCAATTTTTTTTTTAAAAAAAAAACAAACAAACAAACAAACAAAAAAAGAGAAATTCTCATTTTGCAGGCACAAAATATGCTTATACTGAGATTGCGCTCGAGCCTCTCTGCCAAATTTGCAAATCAAAGTTCAAAATCATGATCTTCCTTGCATGTTTTCTACCAGAACCAAACTGGTTTTTGCAATGAAAAAAAAAAATATCTAAAACTCCTAATTATGTAGACCTTTCATCCACATGAACTAAAAATAAATCTGAGTTGTGATGAATGAGTGGTGGGGCAAACAAGGTTGCCATCACCAAAACCGTGTTTCTGCTTCACACCGGGAAAGCGTTCTAAGTTTCAAGTCCCTCCCTGCATTTGCAACCAGCCAGTCATACCAGCAAGCCTCCCACCATGACCAGGGGGACTTGTGTTAAGTTTGTCCGTAGATACCCGCTGGCCCCAACAGATACCCACCAGCGGATGCGGATGTCAGATTCCGCAGAAAAAGCAAGCAGATATCTGGATGTGAAGGGGCCATCTCTAAGCCAGACTGCATACCCATTTATAATACTGAAATGAATAATTTATAAATCTACCACATTAAGATGTGGGTCAGTAAACTCAAATCACACATTGAATGCATTTCAATCCCATTGCTATTATTAGGCTCATTAAAAACTAGAAGCAAGCAAGTGCTTATGTCATTGAATCAATATTCCAACCTTTGTGGCCCTTTTTGAAATTTCAAAAGTTGCTCTTCAAAATTTCTTTGAGTTACACAATTCTTGAGGATCAAGGAGCACATTCAAGACACTTCCTTTCACTGATCACTCATATGTATTGGTCACTTTTCTCTCAACAGATTTTGAGTTTCATCCTTTCCCTCTTGGCCTCCAAACTTCTTCAGATAAGTATCAGATGTTCAGCCATGTTGCAATGCACATCAGGCAAATGTCCTTATTTGCATTACTATTTCTTACTTTGAGAAACTTAGGGCCTTTACATACCATAGCACCCCAGCCAATTTTCATTTCCATTTTCATTTTTGCTCTTTCATCACAATGACTCATTTGTTATACTTCATTAATCTTCTTTGAAACCTTTTCTTTCACATATAAAAGTTTTTGTTAAGATATCCATTCATCTGTATTCTTGGTAGTTGTGGCAGAGAAACACTAACCACTACCAGAAAAACCTGTTGGTGGTAGTATAGCTCCACTATGCTATGCTAAGTTACCAACTATAGAAAGCACACTGGCCCACTGTTGGTTGTATTTCTATGGTTGATTAGGTATAAGTGTTTGATTATATCTTTGGTGTTGTCAGAGATTGTGATTGCCTTGATGTTTCTTCCTTGGTCAGTCAAGTAAGCAACACAATGACCCTCACCTTTAGTCAGATTGATGCTTCCACTGTCCTGTTGTGTAAATAGTAATATGCTGTTTTTTGGATTGAATAAAAGAATGATGTGATGTAAAGAAATGGAAGCAAAATTTTGAAGAAAAAAAAAAGTGAACAAATTTATGTACATGAACTGGAAAAGGGGAGAGCAAGGAAGTCATGAAAAAGAAAAAAAAAATTGAAAGAAGAAATCAGAAAAAAATTAAGAAAAAAAAACATGTAAAAAAATTAAAAAATCCCGGCCAGGAAAAAAATATGTACAACTCAAAGTGGAAAGGGGGAGAGCAAAGTGAAAAAGAAGGTTTTCACAAGAAAAGGGAAAAAATGGGTTTTAGGGGATGGTGGCTTGCAGACGGTTTTGTGGCCTGGTTACAGCCTGGATGGAGCTGAGTTGGGCCTTGAGCGCCTCCCTGTCAGTTTGCTGTGCATCCACTTCAGTTTGTATTGCAACCACTTCAGTTTGTATTGCATCCAGGTCAGTTTGCTGTGCATCCAGTTCAGTTTGTATTGCATCCAGTTGGATTCGTTGTGCCTTGAGTTGCTTCTTCAGTGCTTTTGCCTGCTTCTTTAGAGTACCTATAAAAGAGGAAAGAAGAAGAATAGTATGCAAAGTTGAGAAGAATAGTATGCAGAGTTGCAGTTTTCAAAACGGATATGTAAATAGAGGGCTCATGACTTACTGATATCCCTTGAGATTATGACCATTTTGACTTTTTTTTTTTTTGGTAAATATCTGATCATTAGTATCTTCTTGATGGAGTATAAGTGTGCCATACAAGAATGGATGAACTGACCAACAATCATCAGAAAAACGGAACCAGCAAAGACACGAAACATTATAACTTTGAACGGGAAAGAACAAACAAAAAAAGGCAAAAGGGTATGTGAGCAGAATGATCAGAGAAGCCAGTTTTGTGAATGGAAGACTCGCCTGATTGGTTTGGCCGAGATGCTCAGGACGAAGTAGTTTAGGTGGTGGCAGTGCTCAGGGGATCTGGGGGAGTTTGTGTATGGAATGGAATAAGAAACTGTCTGCAGGTTTTTATGAAAAAGAAGCGATGAAGAGAGAAGCTGGAGAGGATGTCTACATACCAGCTCAAGACCGTCCCACTTGGACCACTCTCTCTCTCGAAAACCACCACCACCACCAGCCGACTGCACTCGTCATCAACAACGAACCAATCCAGTCCAATCCCATCACCCAACCAAGCCTCAGACCAGCACCAGCCAGCCGACCATCTCCATCTCATCCAACCACCCTCTCGCCCATCTCTCAAGAACACTAGCCCAGCATCTCGTCAAGCTATACACCTCACTCGGACTTTCAGACCCTACACTCTCTCGTCAGGTATGTAGAACTCGATCATCAAACTTAAAAAAACAGCAACACGTTTCTCTTTCCAGTCTCGATGAGCTCAAACCCTACTGGATCACATCAATATATCGATCTTCAATCTATGCGGACATCTCGCTATCCCGCCCGCCTCACCCTTGGCGAATCCTAGCTTGGACCACTCAGATATCAACCCGGTTTTCATCTCCGCTTTCAGGATCTCGATTGAATTCTGGACTGGTGATTATCCTCTTGGGTTTTTTTTCCTCCCTGCTGCCAATCGTTATGCCTACTTGAAAAGAAAAAAAATCACAATCAAAATTCAATGTCGTTCAAACCATCAAACATGGGCATCTATCCTAAAAAAAACAAACGATGGGTTTCAACGAACGACATAACCGTTGCGGCCAGAAGAGATTCAAGGGTCGGGGTTCGGATCTTGAATCCAGGCTGTTATGCGACGGACATCCAGCTCCTACTGGCGCCTACATTGGAGGGAGTCGACCAACGGTGTTTGGGATCTCGGGGCGCAGTGGAGCGGGGGCGCTGAAAGGTAATATGCCTAAGATCAGTGGGCAAAAGCTTGAGGGATGCATCGGACCGTATTCATTAACAGACCACATCCACGAGCGGGAGGCCAGTTATCATTTAGGCAAGCAGGTCGATCGAGCAGGCGATTTCTAGGTGACCTTCACTCCGCCTATTGCTCCACGGTGCAGCGGGATCATCACCACCGCTTCGGTGGCTCTCAAAACCCCTCTGCATGCTAGAGAGTTCCGCGAGCTCCTTGCTTTTTTTTAGGATCGTGGGCAATCATTATTGTGGAAAATCACTCGCTGAGATCGGTTGGATCATTTGGTGGTTGCCTCTATTCTGTTGTATTTGCAATTCATTCCGCTTTAGAGCAATTACATAAAACAAAAAAAAAATGGCTGTACTGATGAGCCCCTAAAATAAATGAAGTTACAAGACTTATTTCGGTCCATAATAAATATCTGAATCGTAAGAATTATTGGGTGAGAAGGGTGTTGAGATGACGAAGAGAGTCGAAAGCCGAAGCTGAGAGCTGATCTGGTGGGCAATTGGATTTGGCACTGTTATAAAAAGAAGAGATTTTTTTTTTTTTAAAAAAAACCACAATACAAGAACCAGGACTGGAAAAGGTGCTGAGAAATAAGAACAACAGAAATCAGTTTTAAGCAAACAAACAAAATCAAAGAAAGCGAGATCAGACACGACAGAGTGATACTCACTTGAGCAAGAGATTTCTATATTGATGATGTCTCATTCAGATCCGACCAGGTAATACTTCGCTCTCCGTCCGATGATTTTGATATGGGAGGGGAAGTATTTGAAGATGGCGACATAGAACAACAGGATCAACAGGATGACGATGATGTCTGGGGAGGAGTTAGTAGAAGATCAGGATCTTTTAGCCGTTTGCTGGTTTTTTTTTTTTTGACGGTATGAGATCAGAGGTCCGACTTACAGATCATGACCATTTCCCACTACGATAAGAAGCAATCACAATGAGCTGGCTTGGCTGGTTGAAGAAGAGCAGATCGAGGGCTTACAGTCTCCAACATCGACAATCCAAACTCGCCTTGGAATCTGATCCATAGCTCGTGCATGAGAGTGCCGAATGATTTGTGTCTGATGATCTCGAATGAGGGATGCAGGGTTTGATGAGTCTGTCGAGCTTCTGTCCTTGAGCTTGATTTATGATTCGAACGTCGTGAGAGCGTCGATGGTGAATGGTCCTGTTTGTCCATGGTTCCGCGATGTTTTGGTTGATTCTGCGACTGGGTTCGGTGGCCTGGATCTGAAGGTGGAGGGAGTCTTTATTTGAGCCTGGACAGTCACTGAGTGGTGGTGGTGGGGGGGGTGGTGGAGAGGAGGTGCGCTCGGGATCGGGTTATCCGGTGATACGCCGCACCGGGAGCCTCAGCTTACAATAGATTAGGGGCTCGCATCGGATTAAACTCGCCGATTTCCAACAGGGGGTCTCTTGACAAGGAAGTCCTCGAACGACGCACTTGATACATAGGCTTCAGCAATCGACCATTATACTTCTTCGCTTGGATAGTCCAAGCAGAACACATAAATAGTATGTAGCTCACCATGAGGAACTCATTGAGCTGATGGGAGTGTTTGAAGGGTTCCTTGAAGTTGGCAGACCAGGCAGGAGTTTGTGAAGTTGGCGAGTCCAGCTTGTGCGCCGCGCTGCAGACATTCAGAATGTCAGTGGATACTGAATATTCAATATGACCATTTACCCTATTTTGTTGCTATTTTTTTTTGTGGCTTCCTCTCTAGATACAAGCAAACATCAACAACAAATGATATCAAGCAGATAATTAATACCAGCCACTCGACATGTCATCTACCCAGGCAGCCGCAGATCAAGTACCATCGACCAGTAAACTGGATGGCCCACCACCACCCTCCTCGTCCTTCGGAATCATCAAAAGAGAAAACACCTTCCGATACCCCTCAACCCAGGGCTCACAGAACTTGGCGATTCATGAACTCATCGCACCCCATATCACCAGCTTCAACGCCCTCTTCGATGGGCCAGATGGATCCCCCGGACTACTTGGTCTGGCGATTGCCGACCTCCCTTCGAAAGTGGTGTTTGATTCTGAGAAACAAGCCGGAGACCCTCGAGATTCCAGGAACCGGTTGGAGTGTCAGTTCTTTTATCCTTTCAAAATCAGAAATCCGCATCTCCCATCAGATAGACTGATCTCTCGCTCAATTTGGTATAGTCAAAATTACTGAAGTGATGGTCTCGAACCCGTTGGCGATGGAGAAAGGACAAGGTGCACTTCGGGATAGGACTTACCCAACTGAGGTCTTGTCAATCAATCATACAATCTTCATCCAGTCTGATCATCCAAATTGACATTCAAACAACTTGAAATCATCCATAGGCACGTGAAAGACTTGTGACTTATGCTGGAAAGATATCTGCCAAAGTAACCTGGTCACTCAATAATGGCCCCCCTCAAAATGAATATCGTGATTTTGGATTGCTTCCGATCATGGTCAAAGTAAGATCATAATCTTTTTTTTTCTATTCTCCAAATATCTCACCGAGCTAATCCCTCTTCATCCCTCATCCTAGTCAGAAAAATGTAATCTCAAACAGATGAGCCCCGCCAAACTGGTCAGTCATCATGAAGAATCAGAAGAGATGGGTGGATACTTTGTCGTGAATGGTAATGAGAAGATCATTCGATGTCTAATCGTCCCAAGAAGAAATCACGTCATCTCCCTCATTCGGCCCTCCTTTGTCAACCGAGGGAACTTTTACACCACTTATGCTACTCAAATTCGATGCGTCCGTCCGGATCAAACCAGTCAGACCAACACCCTGCACTATCTATCTAATGGGACGATCACCTTCAGATTCAGTTGGCGAAAGAGTGAATTCATGGTCCCAGTCGTCATGCTTCTCAAGGCCCTAATCGGTGCTAGTGATCAAGAGATCTTTACGAACCTCGCCCAAAATGCCTTCGAAGATACCTTCCGGACGGACCGAATTGAGCTCATGCTCCGGAACTTCCAGTACTATTCACTACCAACCGCTTCGGCCTGCTTGGATTTCCTCGGATCGAAATTTAAAGTTGTACTAGGTTGTCCGGACGATTGGGGGTCTGAACAAATCGGACGTTATTTACTCCAGCGAATCGTACTGGTTCATCTCAAAGATCCAATCAGCAAATATCGCCTACTACTGTTCGTGCTTGAATTTCATCTGAGACTCATATCCCGCAAATTTCTACTATTCATCCGCTTATCTTTCTTACTTGATCAATCTTAGCTTTATGATCCAAAAACTATACGCCTTGGTAGCTGGCGAATGTTGTGCGGACAATCCGGATTCGCCCCAACATCAAGAAATTCTTTTACCGGGTCACCTACTCTCATCGATCCTCAAGGAACGATTCGAAGAATACCTAGGCGGCATCCAAGCTCAGATTACTAGCGAAGTCCGTAAATCTACCACCGGCGTAACATTTTCTGATAACAAATTTGTGACCAAGGCGATCGGTAAGGTCTACTCTGATATCGGTAGACGAGTCACTTTTTTTCTGGCTACCGGTAACTTGGTCTCACCTACTGGACTCGATCTCCAACAGACTAGTGGATTCACTATCATTGCTGAAAAGCTGAACTTTTATCGTTACATATCTCACTTCAGATGTGTTCATCGAGGAGCATTTTTCGTAAATCACTCTCCTTATCTTGCTCCTTCGTCTAACCTTTTTCTGATCCTGATTCAAACATTTTACACTGGTGCTTCCTTTTTCACATAGGCCGAATTGAAGACCACCACGGTACGAAAGCTTCTACCCGAGGCTTGGGGCTTTCTATGTCCTGTCCATACCCCTGATGGCTCACCCTGTGGATTGCTCAACCATTTTGCGCACAAGTGCAAAATCCTAACCTCGGCACCTTCGGTCAAGAACATACCATCTCTTTTGCTCTCGTTAGGAATGAGTCAGCCGTTTGATACCACCATTCACCCTTCAAAGTTTGTCTCTGTTCAATTGGACGGTGAGATCATTGGGTGGGCCTCTTCATCACTCTGCTCTAGAATGGCAACAGCCCTTCGGACTTGGAAGACTGAAGGGCTGGAGAACATCCCTCTCGAATTAGAGATTGGGCTCGTTCCGAGATCCAAGGGTGGTCAATATCCTGGTTTATTCCTCTTCTCAACACCCGCTCGAATGATGCGTCCGGTTCAGCTACTGTCAAATAAGAAAACAGATCTGGTGGGATCGTTCGAACAGGTGTATATGGATATCGCATGTTCCCAAGAGGAAATCGATCCCGGATTTAGCACTCATGTTGAAATATCGCCTACCCACGTCTTATCACTGCTTGCAAACCTCACACCATTTTCAGATTTCAACCAATCCCCTCGAAATATGTACCAATGCCAGATGAGTAAACAAACCATGGGTACCCCATCAGGCGTTATTCACCACCGAACCGACAACAAGCTTTACCGACTCCAAACTGGCCAAACTCCTATCGTCCGGCCCGCACTTCATGATGTCTACCAAATGGATCATTTCCCCAATGGGACTAACGCCGTCGTAGCTGTAATCTCCTACACGGGTTACGACATGGAAGATGCAATGATCCTGAATAAGTCTGCACATGAGAGAGGGTTTGCGCATGGGATGGTCTATAAGTCGATGATCGTCGACCTCTCTCCAGAAGGTAGTAGGACAAGTTCCGAGAAACATTTTGGAATCGGCAAATCTTTCGGTGGGTCTGAAAGTAGTGCATTCAATAGAATGTGCGACAAGCTCGACTCCGATGGAGTCGCTCTCGTCGGTAGTCGTGTTCGGTCCGGGGATCCTCTCTGCGCTTATGTTGATCGGACCACCGGTAAAACTAGCTTTGAGAAATATAAGGGTGATGAGGAAGCTTTTGTGGAGGAAGTTAGGATGATCGGTTAGCTGAATTTTCGTATGGCCAAAGTCAACAAGTATGTAAACTGATTTGAAGTTGAATTTCAGGTGGGGATGTACCCTCGAAGGAATGTACCAAGATCCATTTCAAACTCCGAGTCCCCCGTTCGCCAGTGATCGGAGACAAGTTCTCATCGAGACACGGGCAGAAGGGGGTCTGTTCACAAAAGTGGCCGTCGATTGACATGCCGTTTAGCGAGTCTGGCATCCAGCCGGACGTGATCATCAATCCTCACGCCTTCCCGTCCCGGATGACGATCGGGATGTTTGTCGAGAGTCTGGCTGGGAAGGCCGGTGCAATGCATGGGATCGCTCAGGACGCCACTCCGTTCCGGTGAGAGACTCTTTCGCACCACCCTTTCTTTCTTTCTTTTTTTTTTCAGAACGTTGTTTGATCTTTCAAACGTCTAGCTTCAATGAACAAGACACCCCGTCGGCATACTTTGGAGAACAGCTCCGAGCAGCGGGCTATAACTATCACGGTAACGAGCCGATGTACAGCGGTATCACTGGGAAGGAGTTCGAGGCGGACATCTATATCGGCTTGGTCTACTACCAACGACTCCGTCACATGGTGGGCGATAAATGGCAAGTCCGGACGACTGGGAAGGTCGACAAGCTAACGCGCCAACCGGTCAAGGTAAGCTATTGTATTTAAGCTTCAAAGTTCACCTTCCTCACTGTTATGATTTTTATTATCCAGGGACGTAAAAGGGGAGGAGGGATCCGATTTGGGGAGATGGAGAGAGACGCGCTGCTTGCCCATGGGACCTCGTTCCTACTACAAGACCGGCTGATGAACTGTTCGGATTACTCGACCGCCTGGATCTGTAAGCGTTGTGGGCTGTTGAGCTCGTTGGGCTACGACACCAGCGACGACCTCGGGCTCGCCCCCACCAGCCAACATCATCAAGCCCACCAGGCCGAACCTAAGTTCTCCTCCTCGGTCAAGATGCGCGGGCCTCGGGGAGAATACTGTCGACAGTGCGAACCCGACTTTCCTCTCAAAGCCGCCGAACACGCTCTTCCTAATACTCAAAACGGGCAAAGCTTGGAATCTCTCTCCGGTCAATTAACTAATCATATGGACGTTATCGCTATTCCTTACGTCAGTCTCTCTCTTTTTATCTTCTTTTCATCAATCCACCATGTTACCCCCCCCCCAAAAAGTCATCTGACGTTTTTTTTTGTGGATTGGACTCTTTTTTTCTTCTTACAGGTTTTTAGGTATTTGGTTGCTGAACTGATGGCCATGGGAATCAAGTAAGTCATCCTTGTCTTTTTTTTTATTCTTGGTCTCTGAAACCCATCTCTTAAGACTTTATCACCAAAAGTGATTCGGAAATATATTGATGAGTTTTCTTCTGTTTATGTTGTACAGGATTGCTCTACAGGCCGAGTGAGCTGGTCGATCTACTTACTACCCATTCACAAAGACACCTTACACTACCTTTCTATATATATTTATATCTACATATACATCCTCCAATCGTGTTCCTTTTTTTTTTCTTTCTTGGTCCACATCTGTTTCTTCTTGGTCTTTTCTCCTGTCTACTCACATACCCCCTCCTCATCACCTTTTTTTCCAAAAAGTCCTTTTATGACAAAATTCAAATCTCAGGAGAATACATAAGCAATTCCAAAAAAAACTGCTACTAAGATTGTGTAATCAGCCAAAAACTTGATGGGTTTTGGGAGAGAGAGGAGAGAGAACAGAGGACAGTGCAAGAAGGGGGGGAGAGAGATCCATAGGCATGGGGTGAAGCTTGTGTGTGAGTGTGTGGCAACTGTAAGGATCAACTCTGATCGATTTGCAAGGCGTTAAGGGCTGTGTTTGAGGTTTTTGAGTTCGTCGGGTTGATTGAACTTGCAGGAGGGCCGGTCCTCCCCCGGACGCTCTCCGCTCGAGATGCTTAGCTAAGCAGAGCGGGGAGGCCCCTGATATGTTGTGAGCCGAAGCTGCTGCAGTCCAGATCGATAATCTCGAGCTCCCCTCCTTCAGACCTCAAGCTATGAATGTGTACCTCATCCTCAACTTACTTCCAGTTCTCTCGATCGGCGACGCTCTCCAGCACAGGTTATGTGTAAAATGAATACAACAAAAACAAACGGGATGATGGCCGGCGGAAGCGATGGATACATAGGCTCTCGGACGAAGTGGCTCCGAGCCCCGTACTTACACGCATCCCCCCCCCTCATCCCTCGATTAATATGAGATCAACACGTTTGAAGGGCAGCTTGGTCCAGATCAACTCGGCCGACCCAGCTGGTTTTGGCGCGCTATGTGTGGCTCTGATGATGCTTCGCAAGGACTGACTGCGACTACATACACGAATGTCAAGTTCAACTGATTGCATTGGGGGTTTCGATGGCCTTCCACCGACCCGACTTGCTGGGTTGGTACATAATATACTACATAACGTTTTGTTGATGATGGTTTACTTGTGACTCGCTTATAAGGCCAGAGAATCCGTCGATCTCGTCCTCCCCTCACGCAGTTCAAAGCGTCTCTTACAATCTCTTCCACTCCCCCATTCCAATTTTCAAGCCCGTCAATCGGAGATCTATGTATTATCTCTCTGTTTCATACCCCCTTATACTTATTTACTTATTTATATTCGAAGAACCAAAAAAACAAACCCAAAATAAATAAATAAGGACTTGCGAAAAAAACGGGACCAGTTCGTCGTGCAGTCTGTCTGAATTATTAATGAATCAATGTGCCATCATAAACCCATTCCCGCTCGAACTCCGCCGGCCATCTGTCTACATATTTTCAGTCAGGATCCGGGTCCTGTGACCAGTGCTGTCCGGCTCTGTTGTATTTGTTTATTGATGGTTTGCGCTTGGGTTGTGATCCCAAGGTTTCGAGTCTATGTTTAGATAGATCCCAGCCCCCATCAATCTTTCTGCACCAACTAACCATCAGTATCGGAGTCTGAAACCCATGAAGGGAATGGATGTGGGGAAGATGGACAACGATTGTTCTAGGTTTGAAAACACACACACACACACACATGGACTTTATCCATCGGTTGTGTGCAAGAAATTACAGAATACACACTGACACGAAAAAAAAAGAAAAGAAGCCTGATCAGCCTGATCTTCCCTGATCATCGGCTTATTTGGCAGATCCTCTCGTCGATCGAGTTGACAAATATGTTTACGTTTTGAGATACACCGACCGAGAGATCATGAGATGTGTGAGTGAGTGGGGACGGGCTGTGTTGTTCGGGAGGTCGGTCCATAGCTGTCGGCATTCTGAGACTGTGGAGAGCCATGCGAATCTTCTCCTCATCCATATCTCCCCCCCTGGGGCCCTGCCGATGATGATGCTTTAATGTTGGCTTGCAGAGATGAGCTCTGGGGTACATATCCAAGTCATCAACCGGATATGTATTAGGGATCAGATAACGAGCTTTGTATATTGTGCATAGACAGGTTAGGGTTGTCCACAACCATGTGAAAAATCCTGGAGGTTTATCGACGAGGAATGATGAGGGATGATGATGTCATGGGAGGATTTCTACATACCGATCCATCAAATCAAATAAAAATAAAAGATTATCGCTCGCTTCGGCTTGGATGATGTGTTGTCTATAATGCTCATGATCTGATCATGAGCTCATCTCTCCAGGACGGGTTTGAACGACCAACCAAATCCACGACAAGATTTTCTGTGAAAAGCTGTCGTCAAGACTTTTCCTCGGTCGATGCAGCCAGAGTGTTTGACTGTTTTATGATACGGCCTGGAACAGTGTCAGGCCATTCACCTTTGTAAGTTAGTTTAGGCTGTGTCTTCTTCTTATAACAATCTCAAAGTACTCATGTAAACGACTGGCACACATTTTGAAGAGTGGCAGTGAACACGGTGGGAAGAAAAGAGAGTCGTGTATTTACTTTTTCTTTTGAATCATCTTTAGACTTCAAGCTAAACCTCTTTCATGAGTAAGGATGCGGAATAAATTTCTTGTGGCCGGAGGGAACTCATTTGTTATGCACATGTGAGCCTTGAGCAGAAAATATAAATAAATAAATAAATAAATAGGAAACAGCTGATCAGGCTCTAACTCAAGATGAGTGGGATGAAGTCTGGCGGGGAATCCAGGTTTTTCTTGAGCTGGATGTTTGGAGATACATACATAGGGTGGTTTAAAGTGATGAAGCCTGCGAGGCCAGCTTCGTTCGAGATCGTCGGCATCGATGAGTGTTGATCATGACTGTTGTGCTCTGCGTCTGCGATGTGGGTCGCTTGTAAGGATTTGTTTCAGGCCTCGTTTGGCCGTCCATGATCGTAATAGACCGTCATTGCATATCGTCAAATCAGAATCTAGGTTTGACTCTTCCAGGCTGTGCAAATGACGCAGCCTGAAAATACATATCGATGTCGATGTGGCTGTTTGGTGCGCCTCGGGAATGGATCATCGGAACGGTGATTTAAGGGGACAGGGAGGCATGATACTGGTGAGAGGGGGTGATGTTCAGATGGGGGGTGACATGGAGTTGTTGTAAGCGAAATGAGAGGGTGGCGAGAGTGATGAAGGGTCACTTATGACGCAAAATTTTGGGGGGGACCCAAAATATCGGATTTGGCAGGGAGATATATCTCGTTGGCCACTTTCGTCATATGTGAGTGGTTATGATGGGTCCTCCCAAACGCGTTCATGAGGCCCCGTCATAAGCTTCGATCCCCCGAAATATCTGCCATGATCGTTTATGACGATCATGGACAGCCAAACGAGGCCTCAGTTTCTTGATCATTGGAGGCTTGGGACTTGATCATGTCAATCTCTGCAGAGGGCATTGTTCTGGACTCGGATGGGGATTTGTTTCATTCCCTCGGCCTCCTTTCTTGTTGCATCAACGTTGAAATGCTCATGTTGTATTTTTTTTTTCTTTTTCTTTTTCAGATGCATTTTGATTGGTCAGATATGGATTTACAAACATATGTGCATAAATATGTGCATTTGTGGTTAGTCTTATGGGTTTTTTTATGAATGTCTGTCCGAAACCCTGGATTTAAGGAACCGTGGTGGTTTTTTTATGTGCTTTAACATGTACATGTATTACATATCGCCATACCCCCAACCTGCTGTTATGTTATGGATATGTACTTACAGATTATTCCATACTTCTCATGTCATGTCATCTTATTACATATGCATTTTCTCATACTTATATACATATTACATACATATCCATAGTTATAGTTTCTCATCAACCCAAATACATACTTGTAGATAGTATAAATAGTAGTCCTATAGCGAAATACAGTTCTTCCCTTGGGGGAGTTTTCCTATTCTCAATATTTTGTACCGCTGCGCTTTACAGGTTATGAGCCTGCGCTGTTACCAGCGGTTTCATTAGTGGAGAAAAGATCTTTCAGAACGACCTTGATATCTTTTCGTCTACCTCATTCGACTCTTGGATTTTTCAGTTCACCTTGATATCCAAGACTCACGTACTACTCCCGAACTACGCTAGAATAAGCTTGGATTTTTCAGACAGACCTTGATATCCTTGCAGAAACCTTGATTTTCCCTCCCGGTTTATGGTCAACACGCGTTCCTCTAGACCGACCCTTTACATTCCGGATTTTACGGCCCGTGTTACTCCTCCTCGTCACCAATCATCACCCTCGTCTTCCGTTTTTTTCTCCCCATCATCCACTCCAATCATGTCAAACGACGAAACACCGATTCCTCCCACCACTTCTGCCGCAACAACCGCCTCTTACCCCTCTCTCTATCCCCCTACTACCACCGGTCCACCCACCACTTCCTACCCCTCCATCTACCCTTCCCTCGCGTCTTTTGCGTCTCTCGGCTTTGCTCCGAACGTCACTTCTCGCCCCGAGCCTTCAACTTCTGCTGCTGTCGCAGATCCGCCTTCCTCGCCCTCTCGGTCAGATCATCAATCGTCGATTTCTCAATCCGATCACAAATCTAACGCCGATGATAAGCCGAAAGGTGACGGCGTGTTACCTTCTTTCGACTCTCTCTTGGAACAGACCTTCCGGAAAAACGGCATGGCCGGTTTCAATGACGATCTCCTGAAGATGCTGCTTCTCCGGCAACTCGTCGGCGACAAGTCGGAAACAAACAGCTCTCAGTCGGCAGTCGCTAGTCTCCTCAAGTGGCAGCAACTTGGAAAGGACGTCCAGCCCCCGCTTTCCATCGACGGCTCAAATTTCCCTCTTTGGGCGGCGTCTCTCAAGGACATCGTGGCCTCGGTGACGAAGAAGACCGATTACTTCAAGGAGGACTCCTCGGCGGCGGATCCTGGCACGTCTTCGGGGATTGTGGCTCTCATCAAAAATTCAATCGACCCGGCGCTACGCTCATCACTCAACGGGATGTCGGCGTATGGGGCCTGGAACTCTCTTAATGGGCGATTCTCGAAGACCTCCTGGTCGCTTCTCCTTAGTCGTTGGTCTGACGTTGCGCAGGCCCCTGACGCATCAGACTCGATATCTGCCAGCTATGAATCTCTCAAGAGGAGCTGGCTAGATCTGGAGGAGCGACTAGGGGGTTTAACAGCAGATAAGTTGCTGTCCCTGTCTTTTCACTCCAGCCTCCGGCGATTTCAACAGCCGCTGACCGATGCCATCAATTCTCGCCTCGCCATCAAGCCTGATCTTTCCATCACATCGGAAGAGATTCTCAATATGGCCTCTCACATCCAACAAGGATCCTCTTCGTCTTCGTCGCTCATGGGCATTGCCTCCCATCGAGGTGGTTTCTCTTCTCCAGGTGGCCGTGGTCGCGGTCGCGGTTATGGCGGAAATCGTGGAGGACGTTCCTCAAATCATTCGGGAAATACTGGGCGTTCGTCGTCAAAATCCGATCTTCCGGCTGACTCTTGGGGACAGAAGTATCTTACGGCTGAGTTTCCCTGCAACATGTGTTGGGAGTGGGGCCATTGGGCCTCTGATTGTCCCAGAGTCAAGAAGGGCCTGCCGCCACTCGAAGACCCTCGGAAATCGAACCCCGGTTGGCAACCAAAGAAGTCCAACGTCATGTCTGGACGTCTTGCGGTCACGGACGGCAGCCTTGCTTCGGTCTCTGCAAATCCTGACCGAGCCGATGATATCCTGTGTGATACAGGGGCGACTAATCATGTAACGTCGCAACATCATTTTTTTTCATCTCTTCGACCAGCTAACATTCGTCTGCGTGTCGCATCTGAAGAATGCCTTTCCGTAGACGGCATCGGAGACGCTGTCATTCCCACCAAATATGGTCACCTCCGCCTCACCAATGTCCTCTTGTGTTTGCATGTCCGTGGTACGGTTTTGTCGGTTGGTTTCTTTGACAAGTGGGACGGAAATGTTTCTTTCCGCAACGGAGTTTTTCAATTTTATCAAAATCAACGTTGTTTTCCTACGTATGTCGATAACTACCGATGGTTCATCTCTGCCCCTTTGGTTCCCTGCCCTATACAATCTTCTTCTGCCTCTCCTGTGTCTGGTCCTTCTACTGCTGTTGTTTCATCTCTCTCATCCAAGCTATGGCATGCACGCCTAGGTCATCTTGCGATGAGAACTGTCAATAAATCAATCTTCAACAATTGCGTTCATGGCTTGCCTGACAAACCCTTTGCTCAATTCTCTGGGAAATGCAACTCCTGCTCGTTAGCGAAAAGCACTCACAGGCCAGTACATTCTCCTTCTCGAGACATTGCGGACAAACCTGGGGCAATTGTTGCCGTAGACCTAGTCGGGCCTTTCCCTGCTGCTCTTGACGGAAGTACTTACGGACTCGTCATTCACGACCTGTTTTCTCGAATGACTTCTGTTGTTGGCTTGAAGACGAAAGATTTGGCGGCGAAAGAGGTAATCTCGTGGATTGGGAATTTCAAAAAGCACTGTTCTCACGATGTTCTGTGTATTCGATCGGATTGCGGTGGCGAATTCATCTCGAATAAATTCAATGATTTTTTGAAAAAGAACGACATTCGACATGAGATGTCTGTACCGTATGAACATCATCAGAATGGCAGCGTGGAACGTACCAACCGGGCTCTCCTTGACATGGCAAGAACTCTGCTGATCCATGCTAAACTTCCCAACACTCTTTGGTTCCTGGCACTCAAGCAGGCGGCTTTCATTTTCAATCGGATCGTTCATGATGGTGCGAGGAAAACCCCTTACGAACTCTGTATTGGCAGGGTGCCGTCTCTCGACATGGTGAAAGTGTTTGGGTGTCGTGCTTATCTGCATAACATTAAATACCCTAAGCAATTTGTCCCTCGGTCTACGGCTTTGATTCATGTTGGAATCTCTGACACGTCTCACGGTTGGCTCCTCTGGAATCCTAACTCCAAAAAGCTGGAAGTTGGCGCCTCGGTCATTTTTCATGAGGACGATTTACCCTCGCAATTGACGAACTCGGGGTCTCTGAATGCTGTGCTCAACTCAATACAGGCCTACACGCTCGGCGATTTCTCTCAGATCAAAGAAATTGAGATACAAGATGCCTGCGTCTCGTCTGCAGTTGCACTTTCCCCGTTCCTTTCGGATGCCCCCAACACCTACCACCAAGCTTTGCGGTCGGAATACAAGGTTGAATGGATGACTGCATGTGACGCGGAAATCGACATGATGATTCAGCTACAAGTTTGGGAGGAAGTCCCTTTTTCCGATGATCTTGAAATTCTCAATTGCCGATGGGTTTTCGCCCTGAAACGGAGTCAGGAGGGCGTCATCACTCGTTTTAAAGCTCGGATTGTTGCGCAAGGGTTTCGTCAAGTCAATGGGGTGAACGTTGGAGAGACTTTCGCGCCTACACCCACCTTTCCTTCGCTCAGGCTGTTGTTGGCCATGGCTTCGAGGTTCAACTGGCCTGTGGCATCTTTTGATGTCAAATCTGCTTTCCTCCACAGCGACATCGACTATGATGTGTACATCCGTCCTCCGCCTGGGGTCAATGTTGCTCCGGGATGTGTTCTCAAACTCCGCAAAGCACTCTACGGTACCAAGCAGGCAAGTCGCTGCTGGTGGCTTCATCTCAAATCCAAGCTGGCATTGATTGGTTTTCAGCCAAACCTGGAAGATCAGTCAACTTATATTTACAAGTCCGGTGCCGATATGGCTTTCCTGTGGGTGCATGTGGATGATGGCATCTTTACGGCCAGCTCCGATGCTCTCATGAACAAGTTGAAGTCGTTGTTGAGCTCTGTCCTGGATCTGAAATGGGATGCTGCTCTGTCAAGCATTGTCGGAATTCGCGTAAAGGAGGTCGATGGGGGTTTTACCCTAGACCAACCGATGCTCGTTGAGAAGATCATCAATTACTCGCCCTCCAACATCAAGACTCGGACGCCTCTACCCAATACTGATTTGATCTCCAACTCGGCCCGCGAAATGGACCGTGAGTACCTGTCAAGAATTGGTTGCCTGTTATATCTTGCTCAGGGTTCCCGTCCGGACATCACATTTGCGGTGAACTACTTGGCCCGTTTCTCTATGTCTCCGGACGAGTCTCATTGGGGAGCGCTGGAACATTTGATTTCTTATATCCGCTACTCGTCACAACTTGCTCTACCCATCGTGGCTGACAAGTCCGATTTTGACTGCATCCGAACCTTTGTGGACGCAAACTGGGGTGGTGAAGGTTGGCGTTCGGTCCACGGTTTCATCTCTACGGTATGGGGTGCTCCCATTTCCTGGTCTTCAAAGCGGCAAACTTGTGTCGCGCGATCCACATGCCAGGCAGAATATATGGCATTATCCTTTGCTTCAAAAGACTCCTGCTTCCTTCACTCACTCTTGTCCAATTTCTTTTCCGTCAAGTCGCCTCTCATCTTGTCCGACAACAAAGCCGCGGTGTACATCAGCAAGGATTGTGGTTCGCGAAAAGATCACCGCCACGTGGATCGGGAATTTCACATCATCAATGAACTTCTCTATCTTGAGAAAGTTCGGCTTGAGTGGATATCGACCAATGATCAGTTAGCTGACATTTTCACCAAGGCCCTGGGTTGGCGAAAAGTGGTGGATTTTTTGACGCAGACGGGACTCTGGTCCTCGTCTCACACCTTGGCAAGTATTGGGGGGAAAGTATGCGCTGGCTGCGATGAACATACGCCCCCCGCGATTGTTCGTCTCTCTCCGGAGTCCAAACATTCTCACAACGGTGATTGGTTCGACAGTGGTTAACCATCTTTGTTTTATATTTTTTGATCTTCCTCTCAGGTCCCACATCAATTAATGCGTCCGTGGTCCTGGATCTTCTCCTTTTTCTTTTTCTTTTTCCTTTTTTCAGTTTCTTTTCTCCCATTTCTTTGTTTTCTCTTTTTTCGACTATTTGTTTTCCTTTTCTCTGCTTCTCCGTTTCACTTTTCTCTTCATTTCTGCACTTTATTGTCTCTTGTGGGGTTGTTGAGGGGGGGAGTGTTATGTTATGGATATGTACTTACAGATTATTCCATACTTCTCATGTCATGTCATCTTATTACATATGCATTTTCTCATACTTATATACATATTACATACATATCCATAGTTATAGTTTCTCATCAACCCAAATACATACTTGTAGATAGTATAAATAGTAGTCCTATAGCGAAATACAGTTCTTCCCTTGGGGGAGTTTTCCTATTCTCAATATTTTGTACCGCTGCGCTTTACACCTGCACCCTGCTCCCATCCATTGAAACCGAACGACGACGGTTGAATCTGAGATGAGAGGATAACTGAAAGACCGAGTCGGCCTGCTGCTCCTCAAAACCATCCCATCTTGCTCACTCTTTCCCCTTTCACCAAAACAAGCAACCCCACTCCACATCTAGCGAGAGACATAACAAAACACACCCTGCATTGTTGTTGTCACTCTCCTCTAGATAGCTACATAAACCCTCCAGCTCTACATACACAATACTCCAGTCACCAATCTCTCCTCTCTCAAGAAACTGCGATTGGCTCACTGTGACTGTCTCCTCCGCTCTCTTATCAGCCTGAGTTCAGGCCTGATTTGAGTTCTACCAGTCCATCATCATCAACTAACACCACCGGCCTCCTCTCCGCCTCTCGCGATCTCTTCTTCTCTCACCCAGCGTCAGCCGATTTCAGCAATGGACTACCTCGAAAACAGTTAAGACTGGTGTTGCCGTTCCGATCCAGTCAACACCTGCACCAACCGAGCTAGTCCGTCCCCCCAGTCTTCGACCGGCCAGCCTCACTCCAAAGAAGCTCGCCAGCCAGCTCCGGCTAGCCAGCCAGCCAGCCAGCCCTCTCTCTCTCTCTCAGCCCAGCCCAGCTCAACTTCAACCAACCCAACCCATCTCGGTCCGATCCCATCCTCAAGCAAGCCCTTCAAGAACAACAACTCATCCAGCTGACGCACTTCGATCATGTCGTCGTCATCCAACTCTGCCGTCTCTGCCGACTAGTACTCTCACAGCAACCCACTCCTCAGCAGCACCCCCCATCCTATATCAACCCTGCTGTCCTCTCCCTCCAACCTCCGCCCATCTCATCATCAGTCTGTCTCTTACTCACCACCAGCTACACTCACACTCAAACGCACCTCTGCCGGATACACCAATATCATTATCATCATCATCATCATCATCATCATCCTCCTCATCGCCATCCAACACAGCCATCTCAAGCTACTCTACTCAAACATCATCCTCGCCCTCCTCTAGATCTAGCCATCTCAGCAACAGCTCAGACTTCATACTCCTCCAATCACTCCAGACAAACATTATCATCCACTCTCTCAACCTCGGACTCATCATCCCATCGATCTCTCTTCTCTGATTCTCGGTCAATCTATCAGTCAATCAAATCAACTCAAACCCTTCATCTCGTCTTGCCCTAGACGGCCGACCACTCAAAAGTAGAACTATTCAAAGCACTCCATCTTGTAAGCTATCCTCCTCCTTCTCACAGCTTCACTCTCATCAGCCCTTGTGCCACATACCCCAGGATCTTCCACCCCGCACCTTGTCCACAAACGTACAAAACGGGATCGTTCATGAATTGGCCCCGCTGGATTTATATATATATATATATATTCATCGTTTGAACTGTTGTTCATGTATGAGTGTACACACAAATTCCTAGGAACAGAAATATCATCTTTTGTGCTCCCTCCGCGCAACACGCTGCAATTCTTCGGGCTTTATCGTTGCCACCTACCCAGCTATTAGACTTGAAGTCATCCTGCTATTATTATCATGCCAATATTTGGTTAGGTTGTATCAAGCCTCGTTCTCTTCTTTTCTCCGTCGGTCATCTCTCTTAACAGCCCAAAAGGATCGAAGCCATTCTTTCCCTCCAGCAATTCCACCAGTGCAGTCTTGTCATATGTTCAAATATTGATAGACACTCCTGGGCCTGGGACTCACATTGCCCGCAGTCTCAACAGATTCGTTAGACTCTCCTCGTCGACTATTCTCTTATTTAGATTTATTTTAAACCCTAACTCTCTAGCCATTACATCATCACCATGTCAGGACTGTCCTCGGGCATTCAACTTCCCGCCTCTCGCTCAGTCCTTCTCTATATATCTCGTCCTCATTCGTATTCTATGCCCACTTTCTTCTACTCTTTTTTCTCCTTCATCTATCAGTCCTCTTCTCTCCTTCAACATAATTACTCATTCTCTCATTATTCCCTCTTCCCTCCAGTCAAATTTCCTGTTGACTGCAAAGCTTACAATGACATTCTCTACCTCCCAACGATTCTAGGTCTCTCACTATCCACCCTTCGGTGTCTTCTAGCCGATCTTTCAACCCTCTTCGCCTCCATATCCATCCATCACCTAGTTGGCTGAGATCAGGATTCAATCAGCCTGAGACTGCTTGGGCGTTTCCACCCTTGTAAATTGTCACTATATCCCCATCCGCCAATTCCAACCTCGGCCTCCCTTTCATCCAGCTCCTCCTCGTTCGACGTTTCAAAAGTACCCATTTGCATCGCTCTTGTCCCCCCAGTTTATCTACTCCGGACTAGCTCTTCACTACTTTCACTTCCATATATAGTCAACAAGAACAGACACTCATCTTTATCAACTTTCTTGGGCTGCATCCACGTTAGTAAAAGAAATATTGATCATTCTTTCTTTCTTATACAAACTCACTCAACCTTTGCCTCATTAGTTTTGTTTCCCAGTAGACTAGGAATACAACTCAGCATGACTGAAATCGACAGTTCCCGCATTTTGACACCTTTGTCGCCAACCTATATGCCTTACTTCCCGCCCCATCGATCCCCCCTCCACTCCTCTAGCAACACTCGCCAACGAGATGATTACGAGTTCAGCTCAGAGTCGTGTCCTTCCTCACCATCTCCTCAAGTTTTAGTTACTCTCACCGATGATGAAGATTGTGAAGAGCCTGTGGCCAACCCAGATAGATTGATAGAGGGCTATCCCGCCTGGGAGTTGCCCTTTGCGTCGGAACCTGCCCTAGAGGGAGAACTCGAACAAGGTTTGCCTCCCCTGAAGAAGTTAAAGCCTGATAATGATCACCTTGTAGTTGGTACCCGACTCGACAAGAACTCCCCAGAAGGACTCGTCTTGATTGGCGCCGTCAAAGGGATCTTGACCAAGCGAGAATCTCCCTCCACTCCCCACAGCCCCTCAGCATCCAGTCCTATCTGTCCCGAGACATGTTTTGCACCCTGGTCCCGAAGCTTAGGTCTCGGTCTCACGACGAGCAGCATCTCGACGCCCCTTCACTCGAGCACGCCTCTCTCGCGAAGATCATCATCTGGTGCATCATCCGCCTGTGCAGGCTCATTGAAAGCTGTCCGATTTGCCTCTGGGCACGGTTTTCCCAATGGACTTGTTGCTCCTGGGCTAGAAACTAGTCTCCCGATTCTCCCAGGCCAAATCGAGGGACCAGTGGCTGCAATCATGTATCTCACTCACTCCGCTGAAGCCTACGATCGCTCCCCAATCATCGTCGAAAACGGTCTCCGTCTGCCTCCTCGTGCTAGACCTGACGACGAGGATGAGGAGGAACCTGCGCTTGAACCCGTTAGGACTGCTAAACTCTTGACCAGTCCGGAAAAGAAACGCCGGGCAAAGATCAGTGTGGATATCTCGAAGATCAGCCAGTAAGCCCACAAAATCGTCCTGTCTATGCGTTGAGGTTTTTTTTTTCTCTTTTCCTTTATAATAAACTTTTCGTCTTTCTCCTTCCAGACCTCAGCTGTGTACTTCTCCTGAAGTCCTTTCACCTCGAGCGGACAGCGATCACGAGAGCTCAATTGTCATCAAGCCTTCCCTGTCCATGCATCGGACCTATCGAGAGATTGAGGAGGTTGATGAGGAGGAGGAGGAAGAAGAAGCCGATGGTGCCAACGATCGGACCAAGGCTGGAGAAGTCGAAGAAGATGATGATGACGAGAATGTAGATGAAGATCACGTTCTTCGTAAATCTTCAGCCGCTACTCTTGATGATGATGATGATAACAGCGATGACGAAGATGGTCCTTCAAGACGGGTCCCAGCTTCTTCTTCCAAATCGATCACCTCCTGTAAAGCTTCCCCTTCCGATCCGCATCAGTGGGGTTTAGGCAAATGGTCTAGCGGCGAAGTCTTTGGCTCTTGTGACGCTCTTGGTGGATTCTAATTTGTTTTCTAATGTCCCAGAAACATTCACACACTCTTTTTTATCTGCTTTCTTTCTTCTATAATTCATTCACTCTTGGTGTGTGTGTGTTCTTGGTTGGTTTGTTTGGCGTTGATTTGGTGGTAGTCAGTCCTTCCTACTACTCGCTTCCTCTTTTTTTTTGATCAGTCACTTTCAGAAACACATACATCCATACACATCCTTTCTTTCCTTCTTCATCATCCTCTCTCTGCTTTCTGCTCTCCTTCTGAACTTTATCAGTACCTTTTTTTTTGTCTTTTTTTCATATTTTTTTTTCTCTTTTTTTCTTCTTTGATATAGAGAAAAAAAAACCATATACATATTTATATATACTTCTTGATCAAGATGTATATATATATATATATGTATATGTATATAAATTCATTCCTTTATAAATAAAAACACAAAAAAAAAACAAATCAAAAGTTTTTGTTTAGTTGAGTTTTTCTTGTTTCCTTTTATTTTTGTGACTTGTGACTTGTTGATTGAATCCATGCAACTCATCCAGTTGCTCTGGTTTGGTTTGTTCTTCTTCTTCTGATAATCTGATCAATGTATACCCATTCAAACACTGAAGACCACCTTTGTGGGAGTTCTAAAGCAGAGACTTGATCATGAGTAAAGTATGGGGGGGACCAGTTTGAGCAGGTCTTGGCCCTTAGAATAATGGGTGTCTAAAACTGGAACTGGCCAAGTCTTGCTTGATGCCCTGGACCTTGTAGTTACCCAGTGGAGAATCCCTGTTGTTACACACCCTCCAAAAGTTAAATAACCACTTCAATCCATCTCAGCCATCATAGTCAGATTATATCACATCTGATGTGGCCCCCATAATCACTTCCTCGAGGGTGTCTGGGATCCAGCTTTATGGACCGTTTGCAGGTTCTTTTTTTTGGGGACTGGTTGTGGACTCTTGAGAGGAAAACCAATCTGCTATAGTGCTTCTCTTGTCCGGAACCTCGATTCTTGCTTCTTTTTCTGTTTTGTTTTTTAGGATATTTGTTCAGCATGCAATGCGGGGGGGAGGGAGTGACACTTTTGGGAGGATTCAGACATGTGGAGCAGCCCTCCAATGAAGCCGGGGAATCCTATTCTAGGGATGCAATTAAAATGATGATGATCATGATGATGGTATTGGTATTGGTAGACTAGGGTGCAATCATTTGGACCTTTGGACCTCAAAACCAAGTTACAAAAATGTGGCTTTTTTTAGCCCCCACACCTCCTCCTCCTCCTCCAAAGAAAAAAAGAAAAGAAAAGACAGGAGTTTTTTGTGGGAAGTATACTCTTGGCCTTGCCAGGTTTTCATGTGTAGGGATCCTCTTGAGAAGAAAAAAAAAACAGGGCTGTCCATGTTGTAGGACTTTTCCTGGCTTCTTGGATCAAAACAATCTTGGATGGGTTCATGTGGTCCTGGATGCTCATGAAGACAAAATCTGCAGGGAAGGCAGAATATCTTCCTGTCAATCCAGGGACCGTTTGGTTGGACAGGCTTTGCTCAATACTACCTAAGCCAGGATTCGTTCATCCAAACCTGGTTTTATGTGTTCTGCTTGCTCCACTTTTACATTTTTTTCCTTTTGTGAAAAATTCATTTGTTTATGTTTTACTGACATGTATATATGTATGGTGCGGTTTCCCTCTAGTGGGTCCTACAAAGTTACAAAATAATGGTTTCCAACCTTTTTCCCACTGGTTTCTGCTGCCAAAAGCTTGCAAAAAAGCATTTTCCTACTCACATACCATAAAAGATACTCATACACAAAAAAAAAGGAAAAAGAAAAGGAAAAAAATATGTGCTGTAACTAATCCAATAAGCGGCCAAGAAAAGGTGTGAAATGATGTGGGATGTGCTTCTGTTTTTTGAATGAATGGAGATGATTTTTTGGAGACAAGATATGACAGATGAAGATTGGGAAGAAGGATTTTGGATCCGATGGGGTGATATTCAAGGTTTAATGAGTTGGAGGTGGGGGAGGAAGGTAGCTATTTAGGATCCCGTCGATGTACCAACGCCCGGCGAAGATGATGGTGAACCAGAGCCAGAGCCGACGTAGGTCAGGAGGGACGAGGTGACGCTCAACAATCATGGCGAGGCCTTGTGAGACGAAGAAGATGACGGTGGGGCGGTCGAAGAAGAGGGCCACATAGCTCGTCGGATCCGACAGACTGGGCTCCGGCTTGGAGCGACAGATGATGAAGGAGTGGAGCATCGCGCTATTTTTTGGGACTATTTTGTCAGGGATGCGTCGCGTGATGGTGGAAACAGGGGGGGGGGAAGGAACGTTACCTGAGGACGTATGCCCAGAAGGCGTTCCCGGTCCTCGTGCCGCCGAGTGGGAAAAGAGAGCCGAGTCGTGTGAGTTGTCGACGGACCCTGTGGTGCCATCGGTTTCCCCAAAAGTCCTGGATGCTGGAGGCAAGGTAGGGTTGGTTGAAGCTAGCGAGGAGAGCGGTAGGCGGGAGAATCCTGCGGGAGAGGAGCAGCGGGAATATGAAAGCTTCGGAGGGCCCGGCCGATAAGCTGATCAGACATCCCGCGCTGATAGTCAGAAGGAGCTGATGGGCAAGACCCAGCTCGGCGACTGTGATCTGGCCGATGTGACGGATCGCCACATTGTCGACGTAAACGAAGCAGACCAGATAGACAAACAGATAAACGAGCGCAAGCCTCGGGCCAGTCTCGGGCTTCCCAAACCGACGACCGGCCACCCCGCCGGCGCTCATCGCGGGAAGAGACCAGTCGAAGGCCCGGAATTGCCACGGTAGGAGGTCCGACGTACTCGGTCGGATCAGCATCAGATAATCGTATGCGTAGAGAACCCGGTCTAGCGAAAATGGGGCCGGGAAGGGGACGGGCTCCCAGCTTGTGGGGATCAATTCCTCGGAGGCCTGGTCGAGCTTATGAGGATGTTGATTGGATGCGGGCTGATGTCTGAGTTTCAAGACCCGGGCGAGTTCCTCCTTGGTCGGCCGAATCCAACGCGGCGGAGCGGGAGAAATCAGCGGGAGGAGAGAAAGTTCGAGGAGTCTGGTGAGCAGGTTCCAGCCGAAGCAGGAGAGCATGAGCTGGTCGGCCAGCATGTTCCCGAACGAGTAGCTCCGGCTGGTCGAGTAGTCCAGGATCTTGGGAACCAGCCAGACTAATAGTCCGAGCCTGAACACTTGTGCTGGCCAGGATTGCGACGGAATCGTCATCGCACCTAGGAACAGGCCGAAGAGGATCTGGAGCAGGACCTGGAGCGCATGTAGTAGGCCGTGGGTGCCGGCGAACGGGATCGTCGGGATCAAGCGGATATCTTGTATCATTTCTTCTTACGACTTGAAATACTATTGGAATTTGATGTTGATGATGATGATGACTGTTGAAATCGGAAAAACGCTGGGAGACGTGAACAATCAACCAAGAAGCAACTAAAGAGGCATACATATCCAGAAGGAGACTCCTATGCACTTGCTTGGGGTGTGACAAATCGGTTATTGATGGCTGCAGGAGTGCTTATATTTAAAAGATCTCTAGTGGACGGAGGACCGCAGCCAACGCTTGCTCTATTGATAATGGGAAAGAGCGGAATGTTTGGTATGTACAACATAGTGCTCTGAATCGACGTTTTGCCTGCCCCACAGCCTCCATGGGTATTTATATCTCCTCGTCATCTCCGACCGAAGGGTTTATTTGTCTAATTCTCCAACACGGGTTTTCCCACCAACCCTGCGTTGAAGCCTTTAAATTTGTATTGTCTTTAATGGGCAAACCACACTTTTGAAGCAGGCAAGCTTTCAGATGGCTATGGTTCAGTGTTGCTGGCATTTTTATCAGCAAAAATTTCACAATATCATGATACCTCAGTCTGATGTTTCAGACCGATCTGACCAGTTCAGGATTTTTGGAGGAAACTTCATGTTACAAATAAAAGTGTTGAGAAAATCATGTTGAAGATTCCAACATGACCCCTCGAACAGGCCACTTCTGTACTGCAAACCTGATTGAACATCACGCTCTGCGGATTCCCCAAGAACACTGATTCACTTGTTTTACGGTGGGCGAATCTGGAAACAAAAAGTTAAAGTCAAGTGTATAATCCCAAGGCAAATCCTCATTACCCCATTGAGGAGTAATGAAAAATCTGATTTGTATTCGATACACTTATAGACTTCCAAGCTTCCCTCCAGGAATGTACTCGTTTGCCGGTGCATGAAGCTCACTGGCAATGTTTACTTCCCTGCTGGCGGCAAGTTGACCCGATGTGATAGTAATTTGACTGTAGAGTTCCTTGTTGAGGAGGAATGGATGAATCCTCCCCAGCACTTGGGTACCTTCCCGCCAAACAGCCTGATGTCCAAGCAAGGCTTGACAAGCGCAACAGCCAGATCCAGGTCGAGAACAAGTTCGGCACTGACGATCTGAGAGGATGGGTATGTACTCTGCACAACGGATAATGGGATGAGCTCCCAGCTCATGCGTAACAGTTACGTGACGATTGTCACCTTCATTATGCGTTTGGGGGTAGTTTTTGTTTCTAGATTCGGCCACGCCTTGTTTTAAATTACAGGGATAATCATCTTTTTTCCAACTTTCCCTCCTTTGGAAGAAGACCATGGATCTTTTTTTCCAGTTTCACACGTGCACAAGTGCAAACACCTTTTGCCACGAGGTACCAAGTTCTTTTTTTGCTTCGTCTTTCTCTAGACTCAGAATGCTGATGCAAATCCAACCGAAAATCCTATGAACTCTTACATGCATTTTGATTGACAGGGGGTAAAACAGGGTGTGTTTTCTGCACCCATACTACTTTCCAATATAAGTTCTGGAGAATCTCAGCCGTTGATATCCCCATCCAATCTTTTCGACTGTTGTCTTGGCCTTGACGAAGAGAGTATGCATTACCGAGTCTTTTCTTGCCTCTATTTACCTCTTCTGCATCATTTCTTGGTTGGCATAATCCACTCTTCACCACTATTTGATCTCAACTGCTTGCCAATTGCAGAGGAGGAAGAACTGCAAGTTGCAGCTCATACATTGTCCCCACCGTCGTCAATTTCGAAGAGCCCAAACATGAATCCGGAACAACCAACAGGTGCAGGAAGACACAAGGATGATAAAGAGGGGCTCTTCAGGCCACATCCCTCTTCTTCTTGGCCCCATGTTTGGAAATTGGGTAAGCAGCTCTCTTCCACTTCCGGCAAGATGTAAATTTATTTGCAATTCCTTCGGTAAACCCCTCCCACAGATTGGACTAATCCGAGTTTCATAACCCAAGTGTCTAGCCATGACGGCTCCGGACGCAAAACATTGGTTGCTACCGATTCAAACTCAGGAATAAGCCAGCTGGCCCCAGATCTCCTTCATAGTCAAGGTGAGTTAAGAAAACCCAGCCAACTACTGTCATCCTCTAACCGAGAAGTTGATTAAAACTGTCCCCACCATGGTTTCAAAAGACGACGGAAGTGTTTCAGTCTCGAGTGAGCGAGTGAGTGACATGGAGGAATGGACTGCGAGAGAGCCAAAAGGGAAGAAAGCTCGCCATAATCTCATTCGCCTAGACACATCAAGCCTTAAAAGCTTTTATTACTCATCAAAGAATCAGATCTTGATAGCGGTAATTAAAGATGCCCAGTCAAGTTTTGAGAAGAGAGTTAATTCAGAGGACTACCATGTCAATACTTTTCGTAATGAGGACATTCACCCAAAATTGCGATTCGCTATGGTCAATGGCTCCAAGGGTAGAATCTTCAGAGTCCTCGGCAAATCACGGGATGTCGTACAGTCGGCTTACACGTTGATGGCACATTACAAGAGATTGATCGCGTACATATACGAGTTGCATCAAACACTCTTGAGTCGTTTGAACCTGTCCCCACCTGCCCAGAGATTGCAACATGCCAGGTTATTCAAATGGCTGGAAACAGAGATCTTTAAACCCGCTGATCACAGGCTTCCAGTCATTGGGATCGTTCCAAAAAAATTGTCGAGCTGGGCAGATATTCCTGAGGAGAGACTTGGAGAGACTTGGATAAAACTGATAACTTATTTTTGTGAAAAAAATTCCGAACAAGGACAACAAGAGCTGACGACGAAAACCGCTGGATACATAGTGGAAACTTACCAAGACCAGCACGAAGGTAAGTAAATCTTGAGTTGAATTAGGAGAATCTGGGATATAACTGGAATTGATGGGTGCTCAAATCAAAATTTACTACGCGGTCTCAAAAAATGTGAACGTCCCAATGAATCAGACGAATATATAGCCGCAAGTCGTCCTTCAACGGTCAACAAGAGTAGTTTGGACAGACTTCTTCAGGATGAACGATTCCAGAAGGCACGTTCAGTTCTGACAAGCCTCATGGTGGACAACTCCGAAATAGAGTTTGTAATTGGGCAACCATTGCGTCAATCGGCTCGGAGCGACCAGCTCATAAGTTCATACTGTTCACAACTTCAAGGCATTTGGGGCAAAGAAAGCTTGAACAGAAATGGATCAAGAAGCGTGCATCCCACAGTAAGATTGGCCGCATACTTTTTGGAAAATATGCCAGACTATGCACATCTTCGGATAGTGACTGCTCAGTCGGTACTACTCCCAATGGAAATGAATGTCAGCATGTTCAAATCATTCCTCAAATTGGTCCATCACCTTCACTTCAAGTTTCTCAAATCAATTGGAAATCTGGAACCAGAAAAAAACATCATGCTCAAAGACATTTATGAATGGATCATTGGTATGGTCCTGAAGCCACTCAAGCCAAGCAGCAGTCTCCCTATCATTGGGCCAATTGTAGTCAACGGTAAAATTGCACCTTGGGAAGAATTCTCAAATGAAGGCTTGGAATTGTTTGAACCAGTTCAGATAAAATTGATTGAATACTTTAGTCTTGCCAACATGCCTGATGAAGATATCAAAAACACAGCAGCATTTGTTTTAGCAAAATTCTATCAAGAGCATGGTCAACTATGATTCAGTTGTTCTAAATTTTCTGTCCAGGTCCCATTTGAGTGCACTTGAATCAATTATTTTTCACTCTTCATAAATTCACATCAAGTCACTGTACACAAAATTAAGGCCACATTTGTCAATGTCATTGTCATGAATGTGGCGACACATTGAAATATGTGACATGCAGGGTTTTTACAACAACATTTGCAGATTTAACCTGTTGTCCAATTTGTCATGACACTGTCACTTGATTATGACACAACAAAAGGGGCCTAATCCATTATCAATAAGCACTACAAACAAATTCAAGGAACTGCTGCATGCAGAAACTTTGAACAAACTTGTCTTGTTAAAGCATCCACATCAGCTTGTCTAAACCCCGCAATATGTCAAATATAGCAGTAAACACACCACATCAGTCTGACAACGCTGCCACAGATACGATACGCTGTGTGTATCATGGAGAATTCTGCAAAGCTGCATGGCCAAAAACCAAATTTGTTGAATCTCCTTGCAAATAAAAGCAGATTGGTCAGATAGTTTTTCTTTATTGGGGCTCAGATACATAGTGATACATGGCAGATACGGGCAGATACCATATCTGTGGCAGCGTTGAGTCTGACTACGGTCCTGCATCTTGCCAGATTTTATAGCATTCATTGCCAAACCTCACCAACCTTGGGAGTACTTGGCAATGATGCTAGTGAATTCTGCATATTCAAACTTCACTTTCAGAACCTTGTGGCTAGTTGACCCTATATCACAAAGCTACATATATGAATATCACTGAACACCATACACCACTTCATTAAACGTTTTTAACACCAACCTTGACACCACTTTCAATCAACGTCAACTGCTTTAAACACTACAACCACCACCAAACAATCCATCACTGTCATTTTTCAAATCACAATTGCCTGAATCCCAGCTCAAACCTATGTTGAGCTATACATGTCACCAGTTTCATTTTGTCACTATAGCTACATTGGTTGTCATGCTTCTTCCTGTTTTTCATCACAAATGTCACAACATGTGACATGTATCTTGTTTTCATTTGCTCTTATGTGAAGCCACCAGTGCTGGAAAGGATTCCTTTTTCTTCATCCTCTCCATCACTGTCGGCTCCAGGTTAGTGTCTTTTCTTTTCTACTTTTTTTTTTCTCTTTCTCTCTCTATGTTGAATTGAACTCTATCCTTTCCATCACTGTTGGCTCCAGTTCACCTCAACAACCTACAGAATCCTCAAATGAAGATAAAGACAATCTGGAAGATGAAAACAGCCCTGTTGGTCATGCTTGTGACAATCTGAATGTTGATCCAGAATTTGTGTGATGCTATTGTTTTTTATGACTCCTTTGGTATAGTCTGATTATTGATTATCAATTCTGCTCCTCTAAATTTGAACTCTATATTCTTCTCTCTCATCATGTTGTTTTCCCTTATCTTTTCACCTCTGGGATTTTCTCCTTTGTGTCTGCTTTTGTTCTCTGGTTTGTTTGGTGAAGTCCGAGTTGTTGGAATAAGATTCCTTGTCTGATCCCTCAAGAGAGGAGAGCATCAGGTAAGTTTATCAATTAATTGATAAAATTCCTGAAGAAATAAATTAATTATTGCGCTGATCACGAAACATGTGATCATTCATAGAAACAAGCTTTTCAACAAAAGAACAAGAGAAAAATGTGATAGTAACTTGCGCAATGAGTAGTGACGTCAATGACGTCACAGGCAATGATAAGAATGATGATCATGATCAATCACCGAGCTCTAGGTGAGTCTCGAGAGATTGAATCAAACAAAGAAGAACTAGAACAAGAGAGAATCAAGTTCTAATTCTTCATCCATCAAAAATCATCATTCATTGACATCAGCCTACACTTGCACAAGATTACTGAACACAAACTTATTACTTGTATATTTCCACCAATAGTTGGTGAGTAAAAGAAAAGACTTAATTGCCTTTTTCTAAGTTAGAAAAAGAGAAAGATGACTGACGCAGTACTTTAAACTCGATGGTCTGATGTTAGACTCATCAAACAAATAGTACTACGCAGTCATTGATTCAAAGAAGAAATATTTTCTTAGCGATTAAAGTAAAGTCTTTCTTTATTTTCATAAGTTAAAAAGAGAAATAATAAATTCTATGATGAAGGCTAACAACACATTAATCTTCTGATAATTTAATTCAGTCACCTAAATCATTACCTGAATAACTTATCCAAAATCATTTCCTTTATCACTGTTGTCAAGCCTTAGCACTTAGATTTATTTAGATCAGTTCTGCCTTCTTCTCTTTTTAATTTTATTCATTCATTATCATTTGTATTTCTTTATAAGGAACATATACTTATAGGGGCTTGGTTAATTGACTCCCAAAAATTGGAGAGTCGACTCCCAAACCCCCAAAACCCCCGAAATTCCCCCGTATCCCCCGAGTTTTGGGAGTCGATTCCCCAAACCCGTCAGCGGGTTTGGGAGTCAAATCCTCAAAAATTTTAAATAAAAAAAAAACAAAACCCCCGGAGGGGGACGGAGTCGATGCCCCAAAACCCAGTGGGTTTTGGGGGTCGGGGAGCCAAAAAGAGCCCTCGATGGCCGGGATGATTCCTCCCGGCCGTTGAGGATGTACATGTACACTTTCGACGGCCGAGAGAAACCCTCCCGGCCGTCAAGGATGTACACCTTCGACGGCCGAGAGAAACCCTCCCGGCCGTCAAGGATGTACACTCTTGACAGCCAAGAGAGAACCTCTCGGCCGTCAAGGATGTACACCTTTGACGGCCAAGAGAAACCCTCCCGGCCGTCGAGGATGTACACTCTTGACGGCCGAGAGAAACACTCTTGGCCGTTGAGGGTGTACACACTCAACGACCGAGAGAGAACCTCTCAGCCGTTGAGAGTGTACACTCTCAATGGTCGAGAGTGTTTCTCTTTGATGAAATTCCACGACGAGAACAGAGATGGGGGAGAAGTGACCGGTGACAAAAAACTCTGAAGAGTGAAAAGAACAAGGTCAAGAAGCCCTCTTTGAGGGCTTTATAGGCTGCTAGCTTGTGGGTCGGAAAAGCAATCCCACTACAAGAGGTTGTATGAGTGACCTCAGGGAACAGACGCAGAAGAACTGATGATTTTCATATTCTAACTCATAGTATGGCTAATTTATCTACATACAAATTTTGGCTGAGTTGTGGGACAGAAGGTGAAAAGAATGCATATTCATCTGTAAGGGAAAGGAGTGACATAGGTGTGAAAGGGAGGAAAGAAGGAGAAATGAGAGAGAGACGACAGAATTCCAACACTCTTGGCTGTCCAGAGTGTACACCCTCAACGGCCAAGAGTGTTTCTCTTGGCCGCTCAACTGCCGAGAGGTTCTCTCCCGGTCATTGAGAGTGTACACTCTCAATGGCCGAGAGAGAGCTCAACGGCCAAGAGAACGTTGAGTTCTCTCTCGGCCGTTGAGGGTGTACACCCACAACGGCCAAGAGGTTCTCTCCCGGTCGTTGAGGGTGTACACTCTCAACAGCCGAGAGGTTCTCTCTCGGCCGTTGAGAGTGTACATCCTCGACGGCCAGGAGGGTTTCTCTCGGCCGTCAAAGGTGTACATCCTTGACGGCCAAGAGGTTCTCTCTTGGCCGTCAAGAGTGTACATCCTCGACGGCCGGGAGGGTTTCTCTCGGCCGTCAAAGGTGTACATCCTTGAAGGCCCGGAGGGTTTCTCTTGGCCGTCAAAAGTGTACATGTACATCCTCGACGGCCAGGAGGGTTTCTCTCGGCCATCGAGGGGTCTTTTTGGCTTGCCGACCCCCAAAACCCACTGGGTTTTGGGGCATCAACTCTGTCCCCCTCCGGGGGTTTTGTTTTTTTTTATTTAAAATTTTTGAGGATTTGACTCCCAAACCCGCTGACGGGTTTGGGGAATTGACTCCCAAAACTCGGGGGATACGGGGGAATTTCAGGGGTTTTGGGGGTTTGGGAGTCGACTCTCCAACTTTTGGGAGTCGATTAACCAAGCCCCTACTTATAAAGAAATAAAACTGCTTCAGTTTTGAATTCTTTCAAGAGTGTTTGGAGCAAATGAAAATTGATATTTCAGAAAGATGTTCCTAGTCTACTGCTCCTAAGAGTGATTGGCTGCAAGAAAATACAGCTCAGAGTGATTAAGAGCTATGAAAAACATGAAAAAAGTAGAAAAGCAAGCACATTTATACAAATCAAGTAGCCTCTGTACATGTTCCAAGTTGAAAGAAGCAATGCAACATAGCAATTCCAATGTGGTGCTGTCCCAGGTTTGCTAGCGCAGTTGTGGGGTATTTGGTTTGAAATAGTATGAACCAATGTGAACTTCTGTGGGGTGGTTGATATGTAGGGTGGCTAACCGTTGCTATCCTCCCTAGCTTTAATTGCACCAATGTGTATGCTCTTACTCAAAATATCACTTACCAGTTGCTTCAGCCCAGCTTCACTTCAAAATCACTGTGAACATTGTGCAGCTAGTAATTCTTTCAGTTCAATGTGTAGGATATGGATTGGGCCACTAGAATAAAAGAAACAGTTTCCAACAAGGTATTGAAGTTTGAACCAACCTGGACATTGTATCAGGTTAGATAGGCTAAAAACTGGCTGAGACGTGATGAGTCATGGATTTCAAAAATTTCATAAGCTGTCCATTTGATTTATCAACATATTGAATTGTCAGAAGAACTCAATGCAAGAGCAAATTGTGGAATTTCTTGACATTTTGCAGTGACTCAACACCAAATTCTCTAACTATAGACTCCAAAATTTCCCCCAATTTCACACTGGAAGTTTAAAGCATTTGTAGAAATAAAAGGCTTATATTTATTCTGGTTTGATAAACAACAAATAAATTAAGAAATTCAAATATGTAGGATATTAGAAATACCTAGAAGTAAAAAGAAGAAAAGAAAGGGGTTATTTAAGTGACTCCCGAAAAATTGGACTTCCAATTCTTGATGGTTGGGAGGCATTCCTCCAACCAATCTTTGAGAGTTGTGCCTCCAAAACCAAAAGAAGATGCTTTGAGAGTCAGTGTGATAGTATATCAACAGGTCAGAAGACAAGTTTAACAATCAAGAAGGTCAGGGTTCAAAAGAGAAGGTTCACTGTGAAATCTTGTTTCTATCATCTAGGTCAGGTTTATAAGACATTTTGTTGGAATTTTGTCTCTTTCTTCTTATCCCAAAAAATCCATGTTGCCCAATTTCATCCATCACTGTTTATACAAAATACTATACATGATTTAAGTATGTTATGTCCTTGTCTGAGTGGCATATTTTCTTTTGTCTAGTGCTGAAATCACTGTAGTCTTTGAACCTGGGTCTAGTATTTATCAATAAGAATTTGCTCCTGTCAATGTTTCATGCATGTTTCAAACTGTTATTCATTTTTTATATTCAATTTCTTCTCAAACCACATGTTGAACATCTTGTAGGCAGACTACTTAACAACTAGTCTCTTCTAAGAAAAACCACCATTGGTTCTCTCCTTCTTTTTTTGACCCTTGAGCTGTTCCAACAAAAATTATTATTTTTTTTGCCCAAAAAGTTTTTTCTTTTCCAAAAATTCTCTGCTTCTCCGGTCAGAATTTCATCACATTTCAATTAGATTCCTAGCATGGAACCCTGTTTTTCCTCACTTACATAGTCACTCTCACATGTATCACTGTGAAACCTGAAGATTTTTATTACAAGAAACCAAAAAGAATGTCTGAAAAGAAAACACAGGTAAGATTAGAGAATTAATAAACAAAAGAATACATCATGATTGGATGAGAAATTCACCCAACTGTTATAAGAAAGCAGATGGGATATATATAGGACAATAGAGTGAGACATAGGAATCAGGAAAGATTAATGATGAGAGGTCAGTTATTGATGACTGAGATAAGTGAGCTTGAGTATTGATGTGTTATCTTTTATTTCTCACCAAATGGATATTAGCACTGTCTTGAAGAGCAATTGTTGAAGATGCTTGATGGTGTTGATCATGAATACAATTGAAGTCTTGTTCAGGAGTGATCTGGGTTGAGCCAATGAGATAGTTTGATCTGATTGTGTGAGGTGAGTGATGAGTGAGGATGAAGAATGAGGAGAAGGGAGGAAGGAGGAAATTTAAATACTCCAGGTTTGACATATGTGATGTGGTAATGGTTGAAAAGAAGTCAATGGAACAGTTAGCTTTGACAGTCAATTTCTGGGTTGATGGATGTGCACAGCAATAGAACATTGATGTGAGGTTGAGTCATGTCACAGGGCAGAAATTCAACAATCACCTAATTAGGCAAATATTTTTCTCCTTTGATTTCCAGCTCATTGTACTCTCTTCCCAAGACTCTATCTTGTGCTGACTGCAGTCCACTGGGGTTTCAGGAAGAAAAAAACAAAGAGGAAGCCTAAAATTTAATCAAAGCCAAGCAGAAAAGAAACAAGAGTGTTTTTTTCTTCTTCTTCTTTGTCAAGAAAAGAAACAAAAAAAGGTGGGGGGCTGGGGGAATATATATGTGTATGTATATAGGAGATATAAGTAACTGAATGAAAATTGTGAAAAAAGAAAGAGAGAGGAGAGAAGGAATGAAGACAACCACAAGATAACACAACAACATGACCAAAAAAAAAAGAAAATGTAAGTATCATGCAAGTAAAATAAGAAAAGCCAGAGGAGGGGGGGGGGTTGAGCAAGATGAAGGACCTCGGGATTATTTGAATCATTGATATCCGACTGGTTCTGCAGGAGCAACTGATCCGATTGAAGCTGATGATCCACCGGCTCTTGTTGCTGCTGTTGATCATGATGAATATGATGATCGATGAACGAGGTGACGAGCTGGGTAGGACTGGAAGCCTCAGACGATCCAGAGACGATTCTCAATCTCAACTGAAGTTGAGGTTCCGTGGATGGAGGATGCTGCTTTGGGTGAACTGTAGATAAGGGGGGATTCGGAGGAGGAGGATTAAGGAGAACAGACGGTCGGGGTCGAAAGATGCCTTTCTTGAGCGGGGGCGCCGGCATCCCTTTACCTAAACCCACATTAGGAGGAATGAAGCTGGTATATTTCTTCGTCCCCACTTGTCCTTGTGGTTTCCTAATTTGATTTGTTGGCTGTTGTTGGCCATCAGTAGCAGGAACGGTAGCAGCAGCAGGTGGAACAGGAGCTTGAGTGTTTGTTGTCGGCCAACCTGGAGGGATGCCAGGACAGCTGGATTGCACAGAAACCGAACGAGCGGAAGGTTCAATGGGGGCTTGGGTATCATAGGCCGCCGGCTCGGCGGTTGCGTGTTCGGCCGTGCTTGTTAGCTCAACAGTTGATGCCAAGGAGGCCGGTCCACGCGGCATGGGAGTTGGCGTGACGGGGTTGTAATATGACATAGAAGAGCCTGTACGTTGGTATTGCAAGGCGACGGGCGGGCGGTTGGTGTGACTGCGATTGCGGGTGTTGTAGACAGAGCTTGTGCCGGTCGGCTGGGGAGCTAGTCTTTGCTGGCGTGCGCCAGCCGTTGTAGAGCTGATACTGCTGGCCTTCGATCCCGGCCGAGGCGTCGCCGTCCCAAACGGATTCGCACTCCCTCGGGTCACCCCACTCGCCGCCCCCTTCGCACGCGTGTTCTCTCCCGTTCGGGTCCGCTTCACCGGCGATCCTGGTCGTGATAGGTTTCCCGTCTGTTGCCGCTTCACTGACTGTGCCGGGGGAATCGTCGACTTGGATCGCTACAGTCTTGGTGGGTTATAGCGTTTAACATGACCAGGTAACTTCGATTGGGTGCGGGCATGTACATCAGTCCCATCGGTTGTGGTTGATCCTCGCCGGGCCAGAGTCTGTAGACCTGCGGCTTCTCAAGTTTGGGCTTATTGGGCACGATCCTACCCCTGTCGGATTGCCCTAGCAATTCTATCATGGACCTGGTGCGACGGGCTGTCGCTGGGGGATTGTTGGCCCTCAGGCAGCTTACGACTTTTTCTGCCGGTCATCTTTGGAACTCTGCCATCAGGCACTGGCAGAGGGATGTTTTTTTTTTTATTTGCTACATAATTAGTTGGTGCTGGACCGACCGTTGTGATTGGCGGCCATGAGGATCGAGCTGAACAAGGGATGTCGTTCATATCGACCTTGATCCAAAATTCAAATTAGGTCTCCAGCTTCTTGATCTTGAGCTGGTTGGTAGATGCAGCAGTGGTTCAACAGCCTGGCAAGGCTGTTTCTGGAATGCTCAGGCGGTGCCCTTGCCGGCCGGTAAGAACCAAGAAAAAGTTATGCTGGCTCAGCTTTGGCATCGGTTTGACCAGCAGCCATTAGCAGAGCAGAGCACAGTCATGCAACTTGCCCAGGCAATGTTCCGAGAGACCTGGCTTGAGGGATATAAAGGATGGCAAGGATGGCCAACTCGGACCAGTCCAGCCAGCCCAATTCCATCTTTGAAGATGTCGGAAAATAACCAACCTGCCCCGGCGGCAGGCTCATCTGTTGGTTGGCCTGCAGTTGCCACCTTCCTGTTCAGTGGGCAGTTTTTTGTTGTTGTTTTTTTTATAAATAGCTGACCATCCTGTCATCCTCTAGACCTCATTCCCCAAATGAGCGAAAACAACAAACAACTCGCTTTCCAGATCCTGTCCAACTTCCTCTCCAAAATCACAGGTCAGCACTCCTGCAAGAAGATTTAGTTTCCACCTTTTTCTTACAACCTTGCACCTTTCCCTTCCTCTTCTAGATACGATGATTTGCGTCGGTGCTCTTACCTTTGTCCTGATTGTTTTTAGTAGGTCTTTTTTCTTTGAACACCTTTGCATTACCTGATATTAACTTTACTACCCACCCAAAGTCCGCGGATCATTTGCCAGTCGAGACTCAACCAAGCAACTGAAGCAACTTGAGGACAAACTCACCGAGCAAATCAAACAACACAAGGAGCAGATGGACCAACAGCGGGCACTCCTCGATCGACTTGAGAAGACATTGGCTCAGGAGCGGCAGGACCACCGGTTGGCACTACTCGAGCTTGTTCATCGACTGCTCCCCCAAACCAAACATCTTGCTGGTCAAGGCCAACAGACCTTATAAACATTTCACTTTCTTGATTGCTCTTCCTTGCCCCTCCGATCTTTCCTCTTTTTCTTGTGTATATCTCAGCTACTTCATCTATTAATCATCTCGTCGTTCTCCAGCTACTCCATCTATTAATCATCGTCGCTATTGAAGATACATCATATAACCTCTCTGACGAATTGTATGTGCGCAATGCCACAAACAAAAACGCACGTTAACAGAAATACTAATTGTAAGCACGGAAAGAGATTCCCATCGATAATCCGCAAGCAAAATGAGCTTGACTGAAGGTGGAAAGGACAATAGCCCGGTACATTCTGTTGAATGGTGCCCCGACGGACAGAAATCCATCCTCAGTGTAGTTGTGTCATTCAAATAACTCTTATCCAGACCTGTTAGCAAACGGTGATGTATGTGATTTCTCCGAGATCTCAGTGTGCCTGGAACGCCGAAGCAAGTGAGCTGGCACAAACGTGGAGATTATTATTTCGGAAGTGTGACCACCAAGGCAAACACTTGATCCATCAACTGTCGAAACATCCTTCCGCAAAGCTAAACGGATCGTCCAAAAGATCATCTTCTAACCATTCAAACCTCTTCTCTTCATTGCTAGTCAACAGCTTGTCAAGGCATATATGTGTACGACCTCCTCGCTCAGCCTCAGACCCTGCTTAAAACACTCTCCAACCCGGTGTTAAATGTATGAAAGAGAGCAATACACAAGATCTGGAAATATGTATTGGCTGTGTATAGGATGGGCAAGAACAAACAACAAAAGAGAATCCGGTGTTTTTTGTTTCTATTGATTGATTGGTGTAAAAAAAAGGGAAGGAAAGATATTCACACAGCGAAACAGAAAAAAACGGAGGACTGGGATGCGATTAAAATGAAAGCATTCACCCATGGAATCAACAAACCAAACAAAACCAAACAAAAACATAGCAAAACAAAAAACATAGCAAAACGATGAAAGAAACACAGCCCAAGCGATTAAAAGAGAAGCGATGAGAAGAAGGGGAGGAAGAGGGGGGAAAGGGGTGAAGAGAAGTTAAAGAGAAGTAGGAGAAGAGGAGTCGAAGGAAGGATCAGGAAAGACGTTATCGATCCACGTCCGTAATTGATCGCGAGATTGGTGGTTCATGGTGTCTGAAGTACTCAGTCCCATGGTCTCTTTCATGCTCTTGATCGACGGATTCGACGAGGCTAGAGTTGCTTGACGTTCCACGTTCTCCCAAAATGAATGTATCTAAAAGCGAGAGAGAGAGAGAGCAGGGGAGGGTGAAGGAGTTGATTGATGGGTCAGTTTTTTTTTGAAAGTTTGTTTGTGTGAGGAGGAGGAGAAGGAGGGGAGACGGATCAAGCAAGCAATCATACCTGAGATCGATAATCGCCATCTTTCATGAGTGCAGTACGTTGGAGGGCGGTGAGTCTAAGACGATTGACCAATCCGTCGAGATCGGAGGCGACGGAGGCGAGGCCGAGGCCGACTTTAGCGATGGGCGAGAGGAGTTCTGCGGGCGGTTCGGAGACGACTGCCCACCAGGAGCAGAAGAGGATGAAGGGGAAGAAGGAGGACCTGAAGAGGAAGAGGGCGTCCCAGGTCATCCGGCCGGCGTCCATGGCAGTGAGCAGACTGGGGATGAAGACGAGGATCGAGAGAACGGCGGCCTCGAAGATGAAGTAGAAGATGCTCAGAAGGGCTAGTCTAGTCCTCCAGATTCGTCGCTTCATCCGCAGTTGACTGGCCCCCGTCGTCATCAGACCGATGGCCAGTAATAGACTGGCATATTGTAGGCCGAGTCTAGAGAGGCCGAAGTACAGATGGTCGGCCCCATTGGCCTTGCTCGATGGAGGTCGACACCAGGTACAATGAAGGAATGGATCGGGTCCGATGGTCGAGTAAAGCAGCCGGGCATCGAGCGTGTTCAGTTTCCGAATCAATCGTTCCTGCTCGTACGGCGTCTCCTTCGAGCGATAGTAGCGTTCCAGAGAACTTAGCAGGGTCGTCGAGGGCACATTCAGGGGCTGGTTCGTCAGTCGGAACGGGTTGCTCTGGCTCGGATTCGTGCTCAGGAAGCGGACCAAGTGGCCGAGGAGAAGGAAGCCGAGGAAGAAACTCTGCGGCCTCAGATATCGCCGGGGCGGTAAGACTTGGGCCGTTTTCTTGGCCCCGCTGGCTGCGTTCCGCTCCGAGGGTGGAGTCTTCCTAAAGGGGTGTCGAATGAATAGAAGGATGGCTCGGATTCGAGATAAGGAGCCGCAGATGAATGGGAAGCCGATGATCTGTTGATTTTCATACAGACAACTAGAGATCAGTCAGTTTAATTGATCCTTGGTCATCAGTCTGGATGAGTATACTGACGAGAAGAGTTTGCCAAGTGACGAGTGAAAGGCCCAGGAAAGCCATTACAATCTGTGGTTCGAGTTGAGCGTTGTTGACCTGTTTGGAGCGGATTTTGAAGTGGAAGGAATGAAAAAAGTCGAGGGTGAGAGGGACGGTTCCCTTGGTCTTAAGGTGTGTTTGTCTTAGCAACACACTGAGACGTCAAGCGGGGTAAGTTTCAGCTCCTGTATTTCACCATCCAGCTGTATTATGCTCGTTGAGTGTATGTGAAGTCTTTTTGTATCTTTTTCGGTTTGCAGCGTTCCTTCTCCCAGTTGATTTTGAGTTGTCCGTCAATCCCACATGGCCAGTTGGTGGTTGGTTTCCATTTCTGGGGAGGAGGCCGAAGTGCTTGGAGGTTGTTGAAGAATCCTGGGGAGGGGGGAGTCGACCAAACCATGAATCCAACTCCGATCAAGCATATTTTTTGTATTCGGTTGTGATGGTCGATGCCCCTTCTTTCATGTACAGATGAGACTGACAACAACAATGATCAAGTTTCATCTTCTTCAATGAGCCCCAACCAGCACTCTCATTCTTCCACAACTTACAAACAGTCTTGCTCTTCTCCTTGTTCTCACAACTTCAAACAGAGAAAACAAAACAAAAAACATCTCATACACATACATTATCCAATCAACCTTGGGCCCCTTTGTCAATTCTCCATATGTAGATAGATGAGATACACATATCATCTAGAGAATGGGTCAATAAATATTCATTGATTGAAACTTGCTTCTTGAAAAACCCCAAGAAAGAGGAAAACAGTGTAGTGATATCTCGCAACAAGAAAAGAGAAACCCACATCCTCCATCTTTTAGGAAGAAAAAAACAAGTAAAGAGGAAGCCTACAATTTAATCAAAGCCAAGCAGAAAAGAAAAGAGCGGTTTTTTGTCTTTCTTTCTTCTTTGTCAAGGAAAGAAACAAAAAAAGGGGGGGAGGGGTGCCAGGGGGGAATATATGTGTGTATGTATATATATGAGATATACGTGATTGAATGAAAATTGTGAAAAAAGAAAGAGTGAGAGAGAAGGAAGGAAGGAAGACGACCACAAAATAACACAACAACATGACCAAAAAAAAAGGTAAGTATAATGCAAGTAGAAGAAGAAAAACCACAAGGGGGGGGGGGTTAAACAAGATGAAGGACCTCGGGATTATTTGAATCATCGATGTCGGACTGGTTCTGCAGCAGCAACTGATCCGATTTATGCTGATGATCCACCGGCTCTTGTTCCTGCTGTTGATCGTGATGAATATGATGATCGATGAACGAGGTGACGAGCTGGGTATGACTGGAAGCCTCAGACGATCCAGAGACGATCCTCAACTGAGGTTCAGATTCGGTGGATGGAGGATGCTGATTTGGGTGAACTAGGGATAGGGGAGGATGGGGAGGAGGAGGATTAAGGAGAACAGAAGACGGTCGGGGTCGAAAGATGCCTTTCTTGAGCGGGGGCGCTGGCATCCCTTTACCTAAACCCACATTAGGAGGAATGAAGCTGGTATATTTCTTCGTCCCCACTTGTCCTTGCGGTTTCCTAGTTTGATTTGTTGGCTGTTGTTGGCATTCAGTAGGAGGAACAGTAGCAGCAGCAGCAGGTGGAACGGCAGCTTGAGTGCTTGTTGTCGGCCAACCTGGAGGGATTCCAGGACAGCTGGATTGCACAGAAACCGAACGAGCGGAAGGTTCAATGGGGGCTTGGGTATCACAGGCCGCCGGCTCGGCGGTTGCGTTTTCGGCCGTGCTTGTTAGTTCAACAGTTGATGTCAAGGAGGCCGGTCCACGCGGCATGGGAGTTGGCGTGACGGGGTTGTAATATGACATAGAAGAGCCGGTACGTTGGTATTGCAAGGCGACGGGCGGCCGAGAATTATTGGTGTGACTGCGATTGCGGGTGTTGTAGACAGAGCTTGTGCCGGTCGGCTGGGGAGCTAGTCTCTGTTGGCGTGCGCCAGCCGTGGTAGAGCTGATACTGCTGGCCTTCGATCCTGGTCGCGGCGTCGCCGTCCCAAACGGATTCGCACTCCCTCGGGTCACCCCACTCGCCGCCCCCTTCGCTCGCGTGTTTTCTCCCGTCCGGGTCCGCTTGACTGGTGATCCTGGTCGTGATAGGTTTCCCGTCTGTTGTCGCTTCACTGACTGTGCCGGGGGAATCGTCGACTTGGATCGCTACAGAAAGAGTTATAAGTATGTACGTTGAACAACTAGTCTCAAAGCGAAAACGCGCGTTGAAGCTTACCCCGGAAGCTTGCGTTTTGGAAGCCGCCTCTTGGTCCAAACGGATCACAAGATCTTCGAGAAACCGACTACCATTCACCATAAATGGCCTACCTCGTTCGTTTTCCCATTCAGGGATTAATGTTTTGAGATCAGTTTCGAGCTGTAAATATTTGAGACCCATGATACCCCAGAGATCAGTCGATTATCAGTCAGGAACGGTCTGAGAAATTGGACAAATCGACGCACTTTAGGTTTCTCTTTAGTTACTCGTTTTCGGATTTTCTCTTCTCTTAATAGTCTCCCTGGATCACCTCTTTTTCCTTTGGCAAATCGGTTTGGATCTTTTTCGGCCACCTAAATGTGTCAACGAATAATGACAAGTTAAGCATTTGATTAACCTTACTCAGTATCAACAGAATCTCAACCAACCTCTAACTCATGGGCTTCTTGTAACAGGGTGAAGTACTTATTGAGTAGATTCAATAGTGCTTTTTTATCGCTCAAATCGTCAAGTAATTGTACTTTGAGTTTTTCATGAGAAGCAAGAAGCTCTTCAGAATAGTCATCTGATTGAAAAATAGGATGACTCGTCAAACTCGGTGATTTTTGAATAGGGAAAACCACGCAATGGACGTGTCAAACGCGCGAAAGTGAAATAAAAAAAAGAGGGGGAGACTGACCGGAATACATGATCGAAACATTGGCGCGTTCATTTTCGGCAACATACATTTGATCCCAGAGTTCGATGATCGAGTCTCTTTCCTTCTGGACAAAGAGGACCATATGTTCCTTCTTAGCTTCGATCATCCTCTTCAGCTCAGCTTCGTATCCTTCGACACATTGCTCGCTAAGACCTCTCCATGATTCAACAAATTGCTCCTGTTCATCTTCCGGTACACCCAACTTGACCCCCACAAATTGCGATCCATCAGTTGATATATTGGGTATTTGAGAATCAGATAGAGATAGGACTGACTCGGGTCCATAGCACGCATAGTTCATCATACCAATTTTGGATCTGCTCTTCGCGCTTCTGACGTTCTGTATCCAGCCAATTCTGTCTAGCCTGGACTTTCTCCAGGTTGGTGGTAGTCGGCAACATTTTGACGGATTCACAATGGCCGATCGGTTTGATGTCCCCATTGACGGTCACTGCGACATCCTTAAAGCCGAGATGAGCGAGGACGACCGGGTCGATATCTGAATGGTCCAAGCTAGGATTCGCCGAGGGTGAGGCGGGCGAGATACCGAGGTGTCCCCATAGATTGAAGATCATATTGATGTGATCCAGCAGGGTTTGACCTCGTCGAGACTGGAAAGAGAAACAAGTTGCTGTTTTTAAGTTTGATGGTCAAGTTCTACATAACGAGAGAGTGATATGGTGTAGCAGATTGAGATTAAGCAATCGATTGGGGCTGAAGAATCGAAAGAGAGAGAGAGAGAGTCAAACTGACGACTTCCTGTTCAAACTCTTCGGATTGTTTATCTAGACGGGATATATACTCCAGGCTAAGATTGGCCCCGAACATCTGACCGATTCTCAAGCTCTGATTGGATTTGGTGATGGCATCCTGGATGAACTGATCGCCTAGGATGGGGGCGAAACTTTCGAGACGTTTGAGGAGGTTTTCGACCTGAATCTCTCGGTCGAATTTGATTTGAGAGAGGTCGTCGAGGATTTTTTTGATGCGTTCGATTTTGGGTACCAAGGCTTCATGGGGGATCACCAGCTGGGCTTCCAGGTCGAGATGGCCTAGTCTGATCCTGAGCTGTTTGATCTGTTCGGTGAGTTCGTTGACGGATTGAGTGAGTTGGGAGACCTCCTTCTCTGCCTCCTTGGCCTGCGCTTCGATGGTATCGAGTATTCCGACGTGGAGATCGGAGATCTTGTCAGCCGCGCATGACTGAGGGTCGGAATGTCCGAGTGAGGTGTATAGCTTGACGAGATGGGTTTGGTGCTGGGCTAGTGTTCTTGAGAGATGGGCGAGAGGGTCGTTGGATGAGATGGAGATGGTTGGCTGGCTGGTGTTCTTCTCGGGCTTGGGAGAGGCTGTCATGGGATTAATCGATCCAGCTGGGTTGGTTGGTTGAGTCGAGTCAGGTGGTGGTGGTTGGTAGGAGAGGGGGAGTTGTCTGACTGGCTTGAGCTGAGTTTGGATTCTTTTAGGCCACTCAAGCCATCAACCTAGCAAAAGATGCTCTTGAAGGCTGGACGGACACTCCTACTCAATGCTGCTCATCCTCCATCTCTCATCCATCGTCTGTAAAATATTTCCCACTTTCAATTTCTCATGGCCGATACTCTCTTCATCACGTCTTTTCAATATACATGACAGCTTCTCATGCCTTTGCTTAGACAAACTACCCCCTCAAGGACGTTACACAGCTTCTGGCCAAGCCCCCTATGCGAAACAATCCACGTGAGTTTTCCATTCACAAGACTGTTTCCTCTGATCATCTTGCTTACATACCCCATTGCTTTTTTGTTCTTTCCCTCACAAAGTTACCATGTTATTTGTCACTGCTGGTTCTGTTGTTGTGGTGATTATTGGTGAGTTGTTTCTCTCATCTATTGCACACTATTCCATACTAATTATCAGATATTCACAAAAAAAAAGTCACCAAGGTCATCAAGTCAAGGGATGCCAGTAAGTCACAGAACCTCTACATATCTGTTTTGAAAACAACTTTGCTTACTATTCTTCTATCCTCTTTCATAGGTACTCTGGAGAATCAGATAAAGGCACTGGAGGCCCAACATAAGGAGGACATGGCCAAGCTGGAGGCGCAACTGGAGGCGCAACGAATTGCACTGGAGGCGCAACGAATTGCACTGGAGGCACTCAAGGCCCAACTCAGCTCCATCTAGCCTGCAACCAATCGTCAAAACTGTCAATCCGCCATCCCCAAAAACCCATTTTTTTTTCTTTTTCTTTCTTTCTTCACTTTGCTCTCCCCCTTTCCACTTTGAGTGGAGCACTTTTTTTTTCTTGTCATTTCTTAACTTTTTTACACTTTTTTTCTTAATTTTTTTTTTCCAATTTCTTCTTTCTTCTTCTTCTTTTTTTTCACTACCCTTGCTCTCCCCTTTTCCAGTTCATGTACATAATTTTTTCACTTTTTTAAACTTTGCTTCCATTTTTTTTTCTTTGTTCTGTTTTTTTTTTCACATCATTCTTTTAAGCAGCTTTCTGTACAATAAACCACATTCCTTCCATCCAAAAAACAACATATCATTATCAACACAGCAGAGCAGTGGAAGCGTCAATCTGACCATAGGTGAGGGTCATTTGTCAGGGGCTAATAGGATAATACCCCTTCATCTACATTAACAGTTTAGTATTAAGCCAACCACGTCTGCCATTACAAAAAAATGATCTTCATCCTTCCTCTTGGGTATTTTCCCCGGATTGTATGATTCTAAGCGATGCCGCCAAACAAGAATCATACAATGGCGATTAACCCTTTGCAGCAGCTCTTGTTTTATACTCAAGTCTTCTTCTTTGTTCCACCTCCCACCTTGACACGACTCGGACCCTATCCCATAACCTCGCACTCCTCACGCATTTCCTACTTCACCTAACAATAAAATTCCTTTTTCATCATCTCAACTCCTCTGTGGACCTTATTCCTATCCGCTCACCAATTCTACCCCTTCACATTTCCTTTTTCATCCTTGCCTCTTTAGACCTTATTCCTATCCGCTCACCAATTTTACCCCTTCACATTTCCTTTTTCATATCAATATCCTTCATCCCCTGCCTCAAGACAAATATTCCTGAACACTTGCACCCTCTCAGCTTATTAACAGTTTAGGTATAAGCAAGCCACCTTGACCCTAATTTAAAAAAAATGAAATTCCCCCATCTAACAGTTATTGTCCCCGGATCGTATGATTCTAAGCAATGCTGCCAAACAAGAATCATACAATGCTCTCTATAGCTTATTATTCCCCTCTTTTTATACCCCTTCCCCTTCTTTGTTTCCATTTGCCCAAACATTTTGGGCTCACGTACATCCGCTATAAAAGATAAAAAAATATCCTTTTCCATTGTCACAATTTTTCCTTCACCTTTTCCGAACACATAAGCTCAGCCTTCCTTCCGGCAAAGGCATCCTTATGCTTTTCCTACATCACAACCTTTGCTCATCTACCTCGCATTCCAGACCGTCGTCTTGTGGTTTTCCTTTTTTCTCAAACTTATATTCTTCTCCTGACCTATTCAGCGCTTTCATTTAGCCTGCTTGAATAAAAATTTTAATCAGGACTCCTCTTGGCACGTCTGTAAGAGGAAATTGTTGTCATCATTTCTCCACATCACCATTCCGACTTGAGCAATAATTTTTAGATCAGTTCTTCAGAAAAACTCAGACCAATTAGAGGATGGTATCTGGCCTGTGATTGCCAATGGATTCAAATCTGCAAAGTTTAATAGCTCTCCAACCAAAAAAGGTGACAAAAGGTTTGACTGACTTATTTATATCATTCTTCCGTTCTCTCAACAATCATCCCCAATGGACACCCTCAAAATGACGCTTGGATGCATCTCACCATGACCACTAGCGACGGCAAATACACCAGCAAACAATTCTTCCACCCTGTCGCCCTAAGAGATTTTAAGTTGCGACCCACAAAGGTTCAGAGTCGGCTGATCGGCCATAATCAGGTCTCAATAGAAGTCGCAAGTGGCAGTGTTGCTGCTTGGGTCAATGGTACGTTCTGTCATCATTTGGCCATGCAATCCTAAATCGATCAAGCTGACTAAAGCATCATGTCAGCCTTTCCCCTCCACGATGAACAGTTGAGCACCCTCCAGGTAAATTCTCAATCGTTTAATTGGGTAGTTTCAGGTTACTTGTTTTTTGCTACCTGAACCTGCTAACCATTTCTGGCTGTTTGATGTTGTTTGCGTTAGGCGTGCGAGGTTACTTCAAAGACATGATGACAAAACTGCCTTCAAAAGACTTTTTCCTCAGGCCGGATGAGAAAAGACAGCTGGAATTTAGCCGTGCAATATCAAGACCATGATGATGCAGCTCAGAATTTAGAGTCCAAGATGGGAGTCCAAGATGGTTGTTTGGACTTTATGGGACAATCAACATCCCACTAAATAATCCATCTTGTATTCTTAGACATTGTTTCCTCAATCCCCAAATCAGTTGAAACCTATAACTCATGACCAGCAAGCACCAATTCCAACAACAAAAGATTTGATACATTTACAGCCTGTTGAAGAAGACGCCAAAGATCAAACACTTTTCAAATCGTTCACGGACTTGTTCACAAACAGCAATCAGAAGTTTCAATGCTTTGCTAAATGGTTACAACCTACTACCATCAACGATGAGACAGCAGAAATTGATCTGAAAATTTTGATAGATTATGAAGACCAGAACTCAGTATTTGGAATCCTGAAGATCCAATTGAAAACACTCATCAGACCAGGCATGCAGGCCAACCCTCCCTTTTTTGGGCAGGTTGTACTGCACGCCCCTCTTGTTCCAAATGTCAGCAAACAGAGGGGCTTGTAGCAAAACCCGCCCCTCAGAGATGGGTGGGTGCAATCGCACGCCCCTTTTGGAGGGGCGGGGGTGTGGGCGGGCGGGAGGGGGGAGGGTGTGCATTTATCAATGCACTGACGACATCAATCAGAATGAATTCCATTGCGCCTTTTGGGTAGCGTTTTGCATTGCTTACTTAGGCTTTCTAGCCGATTAACATGTTTTTATCCCTCCCATGGGATAAAAATTTCCTAAACATTTCTTTTTTATTTGGATGGCTGACTTTTCTTTGCATAGCTGCGAATGAAGATAATTGATCCGAGCAACTGTTTCAGCTGGATTTTTTAGCACTTTTCAATTTTTCTTTGGAGGAAATACCACAGTTAAATTGTTCGGGATTATAGTAGCAATTTTAAATTCCAAGCCTACCCTTCAATTTATTTCTTGCTGTCATTATTCATGGACTCTACTTCTTCCACATTTCTCCTTGCTTTCACTATGGAATGAGACCAGTTCAAACTTCCTTTTGTTGTAATCATTCATCTTTCATGTTCTCCAACCTAATGTGATTCTGAATCCAGCCACGGAGATTTAATTTGACACCGCTGTGGAGGTTTTCATGCAGGGATAAAATGTTTAATTTTGGACATCATTGGAACCCTGGGAGGAAGGTGGAGCTTTTGAGCTAACAGTATACAATGACTGAACAGGGCAGCGTAGCCACCCCTAAACCCTAGTGTCAGACACTGAGACACTAGTCCATGTGTCTGCATGAGATTGTAACCCCTCCAGGCTACATAATAATAAATATTATTATATGTATTCTTTAAATTAATAATGATTTACCTCTGTACATATTTATCTCTCTCTCTGGATAATTAATGTACCTCTCTCATGAAAATAACAATTGAATTGCAAAGGATAATTATCTCCTGGGTGTATCCAAGAGATGATTATCCTATTTACCTCTCTTGTGTGTATGATTATTATGTTTATCTCTCTTATGGTATTTTCTGAAATAAGAGAGATAGTCAACACATGTACATTTGCATGTTTGAATATCTTGACACTTTCCCCCAAAGGAATAGTGTAAAAATAAGGGGACTTCACCAGTCCAACAGGCAGCCTGAACCCTGCCTTGCAATACTTAAGGGGAAGGCTTTCCCTCTAGGATTCCTTCCCCCAGAGATTATTGCCATACAAACCCGTGTACCTTACTTAATATTAGTGAGTGGGGTTTTAGCAGTAAACTCTCCCTTTTCTCTTTACCTTCCATCTTTATACTTATTCTACTAGCCTAGACTACAGTTAATTCACTACTGTAGTCTAGAAGAGAGCCTCTTTTGATCTGCTCTAAGCTCGGCGTGGTGATGCTCATTCCACCATCGTCCCCTCTAACCCAGGGAGCTAGCCCCTCTGCTTTCTAGCATTGAGGTGTGGTTTATTTCCACTGGCCACCTCTGTGGCTATAGTGTGACCCTATACCCCATCAACTCCTGGTCACATAAGAGACCGGAGCTGACACCTAGTATAACTAAAGGAATAGCCTCAGAGGGCCAAACAAACTGTCATGCAATCTAACACTGGTGTTGACCTCCAATTCACATTTGTTGGATTTGTCAACGCCGGTGTTAGACCGAGGCAGACAGGTATCCAACTCAACTATGTAACACCCAACAGGTCATCAAGTAAAACCCCCAATATACGGGGAAAAAACATGCAGATAAGTTAGCGTGCACTGCACAAAAAGAATATTGAATAAAACATAAATTACTGGGGCATAGTATGAAATAACACAACACTGCATGTTGTAATCTACCCCATTTGTTGATGAACCTATCTCCTATTTCCATCATATTCCTTATCCCCAGTGTACCACAGAACCACAAATCAGCCAGATATCAGGAAAGTACTTAATCAAAGAAGAAGAGCTGCATTAGAGAATCATTTTGGGTTAGGGTCAGGGGAATTTTCAGAAAAATCATAAGTTTCTATGGACAATACCCGCTAGCGGGTGCGGATGGCTGATTCCCCTGAAAAAGCAACCAGATATTGGATGTCTGGATGTGTTGGGGCTATCTTTAGTCCTGAGGACTGTCCACAGACAGTCTTCATGTCATCCCTAAGATTTGGGAGTTGAAACTCCAATTTTAGGCAGTCAATTAAACAAGGCCCTAAAAAATGATATATGTACACCTTTGCAAAAACCACCAAAGAAAAGTCAAGGACTGATCTTAATTTCCTTTCCAGAACCCATAAATGTTTCTTTTTTCATTTTTTTTTTTTGTTTGGGTTATCAGCATAATGATACTCACAAGCAAAAGAACTTGCATAGGAAGTTGGTATGTATGTAAGGATGTGAAAAAGCAAAATGATGATGATGATGATGGTGGAAATAAAGAAAACATGAAAAAGTGATTACTTTTTGAGAGTATGGATGAAAGGATATCTTAACACAAACTCATATATAAACATAGTGCTTTTCTTGGATGTATTTTTAGGGGGTATGTAAAGGGTTTCAAAGAAGATTGATCAAGTATAAGGAAATTAGGTGAGCCATGTTATGCTAATTGAGAGGGATCCCTTCGAATTCATCTAAACCTAAACTCAAGTTCAAGTTCTATCAAAAGGTATAAAAAATAATAGTCAAAGTTTTGAATGGGTCAGTGGATGAATAAAGAAAAAGAGGGAGTGAAGATGATCAAAGAAGAAGAAGGGGGAGGAAGAAGAAGGTAAGACTAAACTTGTAAGCATTGAGTTGCAGCACCCTTAAGGAGATTATCAAGGACGCCGACGACAACGACTCGATTGCGAAGACTATGGACCTGCACACCACCGCCGATCCAGCCATGTTTATTAGCGATAAGCCGGACATCAGGGATATCTTTACGTTTCCATTGGAGGAGTTTCTCGTCCTTGTATTTCGTCTCGAAGAGTTCGTGGACCTCTCTAGCGTCCAGAGCGGTTTTAAGAGGCACTGAAGCGGTGGCGATGATCCCACTGAACCACGGAGCAATAGACGGAATGAAGGCCACCTGGAAATCACCTGCTCGATCGACCTGCTTGCCTAAATGGTAACTGGCCTCTCGCTCGTGGATGTGGTCTGTTAACGAATATGGCCGGACGCATCCCTCAAGCTCTTCTCCACTGATCTTCGGTACGTTCCCTTTCAGCGTCCCCGCTCCACTATACCCCGAGATCCCAAACACCGTTGGTCCACTCCCTCCCATGTAGGGCATCAACGGCGCCAGTAGGAGCTGGATATTCGTCGCATAACAGCCCGGATTCGATATCCGAACCGATCCTCGAATCTCTTCTCGGTTGTACAGTTCTGTCGATCGTTGAAATCCATTGTTTGTTTTTCAATGTAGATGCGTATGTTTGATTTGGTTTGAACGACATTGATTTTTGATTTTGATTTTTTTTTTTCAAGTAGGCATAACGATTGACAGCAGGGAGGGAAAAAAACCAAGAAGAAAACATTTTTAATCAACAGTCCAGAATTCAATGCCTTACACACATCGAGAGAAAAAGAATGAACAGAATTGAGATCTTGTTTTTTTAGCAGGGAAGGCACATTTGTTGATTTGCAATGCAAAATAAAAAACAAATAAACTAAGAAAGCAAGAAAGGAATATGAAAGAGTTTTGTAGCAGTGTATGTAGAGAGAGAAAGAAGATTCCTAATTTAATGCGCACCCGGCAAGCCATAGGTCCAGTTTTTCTCAAACCGGTAATCAGCACTCAAGTCAACGATGACACTACCTTTCTGAGAGCTAGAGTCTTGTTGCAGATTGTTGGAGCGAACGTTCTCGATGGCGTCGACGAAGGGTTTACAGACGCCGTTGGGCAAAGCCATCACCCAAGCGTCTACTTCTCCACTCTTCTCGATCTCTTGAACCTCTCGCGCTCCAAGGTTTTCGTATATGATTTCGGCCTTGTCGTAGTTCGCAAGCCGTTGGCCGGCAAGCTCCCGAGATGAGACATGGGCCAGACTGAGGTGGGGGTGGCCGTTGATAAGCGACACTAGTTGGGAGCCGGTGAACCCTCTGGCTCCGATCAGACCGATTTTCTTGGGCGTGGATTGGCCGGCGGCCGTCGCATAATGTCGTTTTTGACCCATCGGGGAGGACGCTTGCGATTGGCTAGGGGGAGTTGTCGAGCTGAGCTTTCTGTGAACAATCGGTAGATAGGGCCGCGGGACCCTGCCATCATCGACAAAGCTCTTGATCGAGCTTTCGACCTCGCCGACATCTTGGATTCCATAGTAGAATAAGCTCTTGCCGGCACGCGTGAAGCTTCCGTCTGCCTTATCGAAGTGCCAGCTCTTGGTCTCGCCCTCGCTCCCGTTGGAGGTCCAGAACAGTTTCTTGAAATCGGTCCGGATGGACGCCCACACGTTGTCCAGAATCGAGTTCAGGACCGCATTCCGTGAGGTCAAGAGCTTCGTGAGCACCGGGACTTTGTTGGGAGGGTGAGAGATCATCGCCACCACATCAAATTGTTCATCCGCATAGATCGTGTAACTCTTGTCCTCGAGATCGGCAAAGATTTCGGAAACACTGATTTGCCCAGATTGAACATCTGGATCACGTTCTTGCAAGACATTTCGCAAACGATCTTTTCCGATCGAATCAACGCTGGAATGCTTGTGAAGCTTGTATCCTCTTCTAATTAAAGTACCGGCTCCAGAATCGGTGAATAATTCCTTCTGTAGATCCTCTGGAGAGATAATAGCAACCGAGGTAGAGCGAGGTAGATGATCCAAGAGCTCCTTGATTTCGCGAATTTTGAGTTTGGTGCCATACTTGACCCATTCTTGCTTCATCAGACTATCATATTCCTGATGTACGAAAAGATTGTGTCAGTGAAATCAGAGTATTGGTGGGTAGAAGAGAGATGCCTCACTTCATCCAGGTTGATGACATCCAGCTTTTCCTGAGTGACGCCGTGGAATAGTCCACCTTTCTCGTTGAGGAAGACGATCTTGACTGGCTCCAAAACTTTAGCTAATTCGCTGGTGGCTACATCCGCATTGACATTCAAGATCTGGCCGTCCTTGGTCTCCGCAAGACTGGTGAGGATTGGTAAGGCACCAGCCCGAATACTAGCTTCGATCGGCTCTTTGTTGATCTTATTGATCTTCCCCACGAAGCCGTACTTCTCCCGATCGAGATAATCGGCATAGAAGACCCCGTTGGTGATCGGTCGGGCTCGGGTTCCAAGCTTCTCTAAAGCTTCCACTAGTTTCAAGTTTTCGGCTAAGAAGACCTGTCGACCGATCTCGAGTGTCTTGGCATCTGTGATCCTGATCCCATCGATGTAATCCGGTACAACCCCGGCGTCCTCGAGTAACTGGATATCGACAGTACGAGGAACGAGATATAATGATCAGTTGAAGATCTGCAGTCTATCGATAAAGAGTGTGATTTGGCAATACCTTGTTGAGCTGAGGTCCCATTCCATGACAGACGACCGGGTATAGTCCTACTTTATTCAAGAAGCTGAGGCTCAAGGAGAGTGATTCTAAATCCTCAGACAGGATCGCTCCGCCCACTTTCAGGACCGCAAAGGTGTTTGCGGTTGAGAAGATTCTGAGATATCTTTCGACTTCATGCTTTGAGGCGATCGAGTAGAGTAGCTTGATGATTGTTTCCTGAAGAGACACAGTAGATCAGTTTCTCTTCTTTTTTGCTATTTGTTATCATCAACAGTTCTCTTGCTCACTCTATCAGAATCGATCCGACCGGCGGATGAGTTAGTGATCCATCGCCTGGATAGTTCTTGACCTTCCTTGGTCTGGGATGCTTTGACCATCAGATCATGCTGCTTGAAGATTGAGGATGGGATGGCGGTTGAGAGTGGTCTGGTGAGGGTTTGGGTTCGGAATGGCTGTAGATGGTTTTTGATCGAGCGGTAGGACCGCGATGTCGATCGGGAGAGCTGATATAGCATTTTCTGTCTCGATTATTAAATCCAAACTAGAATCAAATGGCCTGTTTAGGTAGCGTTCTGGGGATGGAAGTCCTTCGGAATGAGATGGTTTTCAGGCAGAATGTGGTAGATGGTTGGTTGGCCTGTTGACCGACTGCTCTGGTAACTGGGTTCGTTGCTGCGATGGCCACACACATACACACACGCATACATACAGCATCCCCACTCGGACACAACTTTGTTTTTTTTTCTTCTTTCTTCTTTGGAAACTCAGAAAAGAATGTAATTTTTGCTTATCCCTGCAAGACGGCTTCCATGTTCCACTTTCCCATGTTGCCCTTCAATTCTTGACCAAAGAATGCTTCAATCCACCCAGGCACGGGACCGTTGCCCAGATAAGAGCCCCCAATTTATTGGGCTTTACATTTGACTACTTGTTAACAGTCTTTCATTTATACTGAAGAGTTGAGGGGAATCTGAGTTTTTGCTCTTTATTCATCAGTAATCTTCCCCTCAATCGGCGAGTTGACCCAGTCATTCAATTTCTACTGGCGCTCGGCGAGGACGGCTGCGGCCTTGGACCTACATACATACACCACCAGAGCAGTTTAAGCTGCTCCGGGCCATCCAACCGACGTCGGAGCTTTGACCACGGGCGCGGTCATGCTGTCGCAAATTTGTCCCTCGTTGACCCGTTGGGATGACTGAGTGGTCGGTCACTCGACGTGCTGACTGGTTGCGTGACCTACGTGTCAACCCGCCGAGGTGTATTTGGCCATGGGTCATCCCGCCGCCGGCCCGTCAGTCATAGTTGACTGCTCCGTTTGCCCGCCGGCTGTCAGGCGGTCGAGTTGACTTACCCGTCACGCTGCCCCTTGTGATGCAGTCGGCGTTGACTTTCCCGTCAGAGTGCCGCCTGCCATTCGGTCAATGTCGACTTGCCCGTCAGGCCGTGGGCATGATTGCCGTCGGCTCTGACGTGTCTGTCACTTTGCCGCAATTCCTCCTGAGACCTTTGCGGCGGCCAGACGGGTTTGGGTTCACGGTCGTCTTGCCTCCGTTGCGTCCGTCATGGCGCTGCCGGTCTTTTGCGGCCTGGACCTTCGGTCGGCTTGTTGGATGCATGCCGCTGGTCTTGCGCTGGGTTGACGTGTTTGAAATGGTCTTTATGTGTCTGATGTGCCCGTGATTTCACTGGCATATATGTCACCTCAACAGACATCTGTGCTTCATAAAGTCTTATTGTCCTCCTTCGCCGCCCACCCCCCCCCCCCCCCCCCACCCAACGTCAATCCCACCCAACACGACGGCAACGATGACTGATACTGGCCAGCCTGATGAGGTCATGCCCGCGCCCCGTCCTATCGGACCTCCAGACGCGCGGCCTAGATACCCTATCATCTATATTTCTTACCAACTTTGGGTCGAGCACTCTGTGCTCTTCCCCCAAGGCACTCCACGGTACGCTAGGCATTCCGAGGATCCACGTACCCCGGAGAATTGGAAGTACCACCACGAATGTATCACCTCTGACGATACGGAGGTTGTCCCATTCGGTCCTTGCGAGGTGCCATTCGAACGAATGTCGATTCGTGACTTCAAGCGTGCTATGATCGACCTCGTTGGTGCCACCCGGGGCGACTTTGATTTGACGCGAGTTTTGAGGGCGGCTGATGCTGGTCGCAAACTCCAATGGCGCGGTACCTCTCGTTGGCCCGACGGGCCAATCCTGCGCAACATCGATGTTGCCCGAAACTTCCCAGCTTACGCCCGGATGGCTTCGAATGCGGTGCTCCCGAAGAAGGTTCACCTGCGATTGTATATGGAGGACCCAATCATGAGGCCTCGCTACCCACGCTATGTAAGCTTCTCTTTGCTTGTGGAGCGCGGTCGAGTTGTATTTGTGGACTTTACTGATTGGTCTTTGGAATGTTAGTGGACTTGGATTCCTAACCGTGGGCCCAATGATGTATGGGTGCCCTTTCAGCCCAACGGTGCTCCACCCCCCCCTCCAGAAGATTGTATCGTTCTTGGGGGGGTTCCACCCCCAGATGAGGCGTCGTTGGCCCTTGCGACAATCGAGCGGGCTCCTCCTTCGACTTCAAGCTGGATAATCGAGCCGCCTTCTTCTACGGTCGCCTCAGAGGTAGCAGCTAACGTGGTTCGATCGCCGTCGTACCATTCTAGCTCGGCGAGATCGTCACCTGGCTGGGTGCCACCTGGCTCTGAGCCTGGCAGCACTGATGGTTCTTCCTCTGAGGGCCAATGTTCGATTGCCGCGAGTGTGACCGGCAACCCGGATCAGGAGAACGAAGGCACGGCTAATGGGGGCGCTACGACGCTGGTTTCTTCGCCCGGTTTGTGGATCTTAGATGGGCCTCCGAGTTCGTGGCAGGAGAGGGACTACACGTACATCAGGTCCTCCTCTCCTCCAGAGGTAGAGGTCTTGTCAACCCCGCAGCGACCAATCAGGGCTCCTCGTCGCAACAACAACTGAGCTTGTCATATTTCCCTGCCTGTGCCTGATGTTTAGATGATTATTTTTGTTTCTATCTATCTGGTCGCATTTTTGAACCTTTCCTCACTTTGGCATCTCCTTCTTGTGTGGCCTCATGCTTTTCTCTAAAATGCGGCTTGTTTTGCTCAAAAATCCGGCTGGTTGAGTCTGAATGTCATTGTTCTGATGTCTGATGTGTGGCTGATAATGATATATGTCAATTGTCTGTCACAAACTTTGATTGAATGTGACATGTGAGAATCAGGGGGGGGGGTTATTCTGACATAATGTTACTACACATTAGACTTACTCTTTCTACTTTGGCTCTGTGAATACAAACTTTGTCATGTTAGAACCATGGTGCAGCCAAGGCTGAAATGAGAATACATTTCTTATAATTGGTTGGAATGAATCAGGGGCAGGGGCATCAGGAGATACAAAAAGGGTAGTTGTATTGGAATGGTATTACTATGATGGGTTAGGTGGGTGGAAAAATACAAACTTTGTCATGTTAGAACCATGGTGCAGCCAAGGCTAAAATGAGAATACATTTCTTATAATTGGTTGGAATGACTCAGGGGAAGGGGCATCAGGAGATACAAAAAGGGGAGTTGTATTGGAATTATTACTATGATGGGTTAGGTGGGTGGAAACTGGATCTTAATGGTTGGTAACCATATGGATCATAATTGGAGTCTGGTGGATTGTAATTTGGGCCTTGTGGTGTCTGGGTACTTGAGGGGTGGGGATAATACATACTAGGGCCTGGGCTTCTATACAAATTGGATTGATGCTGTGTATGTGTATAATTCATACTGGGTTCTTGTTGCCTGTATTGATCATACATTGAAGAACTGCTTGATTGCCTGGGTAATGTTGCCTGGAGCGGCATATGGAATGTTGTGTGGGGTTGGCCTCTCATTGGCCATGGGTTCATAATTCCTGGGGCTATACCCCAACCTACATGCCCTTGGGTTTGGGGCCGGTAGGGTTGTTGTGTCATATTATTATGGGGGGTGGAGTGGGGAAGTGTGTGTGGCTGTGTAAGGGGTGGAGGCCTGCCACTTGCCTGGTGATGTGGGGGATTTGGATGCGGGAAATTTCCTGGAGAGAACTGTTGGCTTGGATGAAAATGGTTGGGATTATTGGCCATTGTTGGGTGTAATTGATGGGTGTGTGGGAATGCATTTGGTGATCCTGCTCTATTACTGTGCCATGATTGTGATTGAGGACTTGTAGAGTGCTCATATATCCGTTGTCTTGGTTGGGTGTGGGAGTGGTGATGTGTGTGTGCTGGAGGCCTGCCACTGGTTTGATGCTGTGGGGCATTTAGAGGGGGCAAATTTCCTGGGGGCACCTGTTGGGTGGGGTTATTGGCCAAGTTTGGGTGTATTTGGTGGTTGTTTGGGAAAGCATTGGGGGATCCTGCACTATTACTGTGCCATGAGTGTGAGTGAGGACTTGCCCCTTCTCCAGTGGCCATGATCTGATCTCTGTGAATGTCAAGTTGGAAATGCTGAGGCTCAGTAGGGTTAGCCTGTTGATGTTGGATGTTTGCTAGCCCAGCTGGCCATTTCTCTAGTCCAATTTGTATGGCTTCCACCCATTGGCTTGCTGTTGGTTGATGATCTTCTAGGTCTGCTAAATAATTGTGATTGTTGGTTGCATGCAATGATGCACTGTTCAAGATGAAACTGTTGTGATTTGTGTGAAGGGTTTCATAGCTGAGGCCTGGGTCACCCTCTTGATAATCTGCAAGGTTTCTCTCCCGCCTCTGAAATTGGCATGCGGCTTCGTGACAATTGTGCTGAACATTAAGTGTCGCCTGAATCTCCTGTTCAGATTGTAAGTTGTATGTATGAGCTTGATAGGGTTTTGTTTTCATATTCACATTAGACGGCTGCTCACATGTGGATGTACATCTGCCAAAACATGTGTGCTTTCTATGATGCGCATTTGGTAGAAGTTGGATATGCCCAACAGCTTGAACCAGGTGAGACATATAACGTAGCTGGTCCGGTGCTGAGATTGGATTTCCCATATGTTATTGATCCTACCTAGCCTCTTGGTGGTAGATGTGGGTGTTGATTTGATCTGTGTAGTATTGCAGATGATTTGGTTCTTCAGTTTTCCCTCCTTTAAATTGTATGCTACAAGTGTATGGACATTACCTGGACAAATGTGTTCCTTGCAAGTACAATGTGTGAATCCAGTTGGAGGGTGTACACTGCCTTGATGTTCTTGTGTGGGTTAGCATTGATGAGGTGTTGGGGAATTGGATGTGGTATGGCCTTCTTTGAGGGGTAGGTGGCACTCATGGCTGCACTAGGGTTGGCTGATCTGTGATTGTATCCCATTGACTTTTGAATCATTGGATCATTGAACATATTGGTGACTGCTTGAGTGGTGTGAAATACTGTTTGGTCAATGTGGTTGTAAAGTTGACCTCCAGACAGCAAGGCCCTCATGCATTCATAATTTGCAAAGGTGACGGCCAAGTCACGCCCAGGACAGTGGCGATTGGAGTGCACCGACGCGTTACGTAAGATGCCATTGAAACTTTCAAACTTTTCGGTTGCAAATAGGCAGGCTGGTCCAAACCGTCTGATGGATTCTGGGAGGTGATATAACATATGGAACTTAGGTTTGTTGACCCATTGTGCTGACATCTGTATCAACAAATACATGAAGCGGTCAATCTTGCCCCTGAGGTCAGTTAGATATGTGTCCATGTGGGGTATTGAGGTTTGAAATATCAGTGCGGACATTTGACACAAAGCTGTCCACAGTTCCCTCTGCTGATCGTTCATGAACTGGAACAAAACAAATGGGGCTAATTGGAGCACTATGCGGAAATGCTTCCCTACCAAACTCTTGTAATGCTTGACAAAATACTTGCCTTTGATTTGACCCATGTGCAATGAGTTAACCACAAAGGAATCCCAAGATGCAATCAATTGGGGAAGATGCTTGGGTTTGATTGTGGTCATCATGAAGTCTCGGAGTAGGTATTTGACCACTCCTAATAGGACTACATGTAGTATTTCAACTGGTGTATCTTTGCAGCCATCAAATCCTGTGATGTCATTTCAAATGCAAAGGTGAGAGTCAGCCATTTATTGCTCATCAGATAATTGACCAAGTTTTTCACACCTTTGAGCCTGAGCATTGGGCTAAATATTTTTGGCGACTTGTCCCGATGCAAACGGCGAATCTGTGCCTTCTTCCTTGGTGAAGCTTTTCGATCCTTGATGATCATTAGACATTGTCGATTAATAACATCTCGAATGCCATACTCAATGGATCGGTCGTCAAAAAGTTTTTTTGAGCGATTCATGCCTATCTCCCACAAAGCATGAGTATTCTTAATGGTGTCATCCCATTGGCGGGGGGTGAATGGTGCCTGTGTATGAATATGAGTGAGGACATGTAACATGCAATGTTAGGTTAGCCTGCTGAGACACGTATAAATATGTGAGAATATCATGAAGGGTGTCAATCATACCGTATGTCCATGTGAATCTTTGCCCAAAAAGTCATTCACATATTGATGAGTAGACTTGCCATCCTTAGCCGGGGCAGACAAATCACACATGCGGCATGGGTTTAATGATACTGAGGGCATAGGTGTGTTTGCTATCTCAGCGTGCATGGGGGAATCCCCAAGAAAGCATAGGACCATGGTCATAACTAGGACGTCTTGTTGCAAGCCGGCGTCATATGCTTGAAAACCCTCAGTTGAAAGAACACTGGATAATCAAGGTATCATCAGATTCATTCCAAGTTTTGCTTGTAATGGCGAGTCTAATGTTCAACTTACTTGAGCTCATCCACAATTTGATCTGCTAATTCCAAAGCCCCAGCAGTGTTGGAAGTGGCCAAGAAATGGCAATTATACTGCTGGTTGGTCATCTTAGGAGGTAGCCCAGAAAGTGTGTAGTAATATGAAATATGCTTATTCCATTGCTTCGAGCGGTTCCCCGAAGTATCATCGGCGTACAAAGTGATTGGCACATGGCGGATGATTTTACCCTTGGCCTTGGCCCTCCAAGGATTTGGCAAGTTGATTTGTTGGCTTTTACCCATTTTGACACCTGCAAGATAATAAATGTGGGAGGGGAGCGGTCAGCGTCAGCATCATGACCATAAATGCTCCAGGTAATATTTAATTACCACTCACCCCATATGGCATGGTTGCACCAAGTGGCACAAGGTTCCCCCCCCGGCATATGAATTTCAGTGTATATTTTGGTGAACCGCTCACATGGAATGACCAATAATTCAGGTGAATCAAATGACAAATCTTGAGGAATTATCAAGTGATTGCGGATCTGATCATTGTCATCTCGAGTGATCCGGACTTTGGGTGAGACACACTTTGAATAAAGCTGGCCTCATAAGTGTAGAGTACACTGCAATAACAATCTTCTTGTTGTCCAATTCGATTGGCTCGA